GGACTTGAAACTGTACGTTGCCGCCAAAAATGGACGCAGATGGTCAGGGACCCCTGTCACAGAGTCGATTTTGATCATCTCTGGGTATGGCCACGTGAAACCAGCATCTCCACGGTCCACCAGCGCCCTCGCTTCCTCCAGATACTCTGATTCATCAGCAGCCATATCAGTCAGCCATCCGAGCTGCATCATCGAGAGTGAATCATCAGTAAACGCAGTCGGTGCTAATTCTGGCAAATTCTGCTCCGGATGACCGTGCGCTACAATCAGCGTTTCATGTTCTCTGACCGGTCGTTGAGGTGGAAGATCATCAGCGCAAACATCCAAACAACGCAGGCTGAAATGGACAAAAGGGCCCGCAGGCATTCCAATTCGTTCTTCATCGGTAAAGATTCGTTCAGTCTGTTCCAGTCGGAAATAAATTTGTGCTGTACATGTCCCACGGCATCGTTCTTCAAAGCCCAGCTCAAGACAAATCGTGGTTGGAGTGCATGCTATCGGACATTGAAGCGACCCCACTTCAAGCGTGCCTTGAATTGCATGTTCCACCACCAAGAGCAGTCTGTCAGAACTATAGACATCCTGTACCACAGCCAACACCGCTGTGTCATGCAATGTCTTACAGCTGCCAGCAACACAAAGCATGAGGGGCTGAGGTGTGACCGTGATAAAACGGATCTCAAGAAAACCCTCATCTTCGAACGGGCTGATAAGCTGAGAGGCCCATAAACCTGTTCTACGCAGATGAACACAAAAGGGGATTCCAAAGGGCTGGTCATATGCCAAGAACTTCCATCCTAAGACCTTCTTCTCCCAGAGACCGGGTTCAATAGGTCGAAAGCGTATGTAGGCAACATCACGTTTGTGGGACATCCAAACTTCTGTAAATGTTCTTCGAGCTAGCATCAGAACGTCCAGAAGAGGTCGGCCTCTCTCACTTGCAACTGCAAATGGCTGTCGTGGTTCCAAGGGGGACAGACCCTGCATGAGCGAAGCGGAGTCACGATCTTCTCTGTCGGGATGGTGGTTCTCAGCATCTGCTTTGTGGTTGCCGTCAGAAAGAAACTGCGAATCCTTCTTAATACTCAGAAGGAACTTGTTCTTCTGTCTCTCATCAGGAGTTGCAGTGCTTTCTCCTTTCTCCAGTATATTTGCTGCTAATCTCCGCTTGCCGCTGTCCACCAATGGATGATGTCTGACACTAGGTGTTGGCGGAAGCCATGGAACTGTTGCTGGAAAACATATCAGTGTACCCGCCTCAGCATACATGATACAACAGTTTCCCGGAGTTGCAGTGTTATCTCCATAGCAGCAAAAAGGGAAAAGGTCTCTCTTTGGTCCACCATAGGATCGAATAGCAGTCACAAGAGGATAATCCCCACTCATGTAGGCAACATCACGTCCCTGGGTCATCCGAACTTCTGTAAATGTTCTCCGAGCAAGTCTCAGCACTTCAAGAAGTGGTCGACCCCTTTCGCTTGCAACTGCAAATGGCTGTCGTGGTTCAAAAGGAGACAGTCCCTGCATGGATGAGACAGAATCTTCAGCTTCTCCAGCAGAATGACAGCTCCTGATATCTTGCTTGTATTCATCTTCATATAACAACTGTTCTCCGCAAGGAGTTGCAGTGTTCTCTCCTTTTTCCAGCGGACCTGTGGGAATGAGCCCTATCCCTCTGCCAGACAAATGGTGACACCAGGACCTGAAAGTGGGCCATGGCCACTGTACTGCTGTTGAAATCCAGAACGATTCATTCGCCTCAGGAGATACTGTACAACAGTCATCCGGAGTTGCAGTGTTGTCTCCATACGCATCACAGCAAAGAGAGGCTCTCTCCCTCTTTTGTCCACCTTGGAATCGAGTAGTATTCAGCATCAGGCAATCCCCACTCACAGCAGTCTCGTCAAGAACTGCCTCAAAACGTGGCCGACTCGAATTAGCTCGACCATTCCTCCATGGAGGAACGGGAGCTTGGCGATGGCGCAAACAACCTGGGCTTTGATGGTTGTCATCACATTCAGCAGGAACATGTTCGCCCTGACTGTCAAAATTGCCCAGTTCTTGCAGGCCACCTCCAAAGCCTTCTGATCGGCTGATATCGCCTTCACGTCGATATCCCTCCTCGTAAGGCGAGAAAGGAGGGAGATCACCTGCATCATCGGTAGCGCTTTCATTGGCCTCTGGTAGGGCCCAAAGCGCTCGCTCGACTGCCACTGCTTCAGCACAGCAAAGGTTAAGGAGCAGAAAAAATTGCAGCAAATCTGACTTTTGTTTTGCGTTGCCGCAAGCGTCCATATCGGACGCGCGCACATTTCTTTGCGCAAGCTGGCAATTTCAGCTTTTCCTCAAGCCGTACTCTGGCAAGCAAAAAAGAGAATGCAATCAACCCACATAATAGACGCATTCGGATCTGCAAGGTTCATATCTCCTTGATAACCATGGATTGGCTGCTCAAGAATACCTAGCAAGGCAATCCCAGCAGCCATCTGTGCCATCCCCAAGGCACTGCTCGTTCCTCTTGTTGGGACTTGAATCAATCTACATGCCCTCCATCCCGCATCAAGCTCCTGTTGGAAGCCCTCGTGACAGTGGAGCACAAAACCGAAGGATACAAGCCACATAAAACTATACATCAGGCAGGCAAGCATAGATCTGCTGGGAAAGAAAGGTGCCAAGGAAGACCTGTTCCACATAGCGCCAAACCATGAGGACTCAGGGCACCAATCGATACATCCAGCATCTCGAAAAGCACAAGCCCCTTCCCAACTTTCTTGCTCAACGCAAAATGCACTCTCGATGATACGGGAAACCCGATTCCATGTCCAGGACGAGTAGGGTGGCATGCTGCTAGATGGTTGAAACAAAGCGCAAAACCAACCGCTCAAAGAAAACTTTGCACGTCCAGGACAAAACTCATCTGAACCTTCAAAACTGTCTTGCGAGGGCGTCTCAACCTTCAAATGGATTGGTTCCACTCCTACCATTAGCATCTCTACTGACACATTCACCTGCCCCCTTCGGGGTCGCCTTCCTTGAGTCGGGCAGGCATGGCTTCTGACTTCCTGAGAGACTTGGGACCCCCCGAAAGGCTGCAGAACACCTCGACTTGTTGGTAGCACTACAGCATCGCTTGGAGAGTCTAATGAATCCAGGCTCGACTGTCCCGGATGCAGCCCAAGTTGCACCATGACCTGCTGGATCAAGATTTCGACAGCCTCCAGAGTCTGGTACTTGTCGCCCTCTGACTCCAGAATGGCCATAATCTTGTGATGGTGCTCTTCCGGGATCTGCTTGAGAAGAGGACGTACCATTGCATGGATCTCCCCAACGTCCTTTAGCTCTGCCACTTCTGCTGACCTCTTGACTGGGGATCTCGAGCGATCGTGCGAATTGGTCCTCGGAGACATAATGACCTGAGGCCTCTTGATGAGCTGTGGCGACCCCTCGTTGAAAAGCTCGATCGGCTTGCTGCCCTTGATGGCAGACACCAAAGCTTGCACTTGAGAGTTCATCTGCATCACCATTTCTTGGTTCCTCTGTTCTAGAGTCTCCACATGGTAAGCCACCTCCCTCATACTCTCCCGGACTTCTTGGAGCTCCTGAGCCATTGACCCCTCTTGCAAAGGCTTCTCGTCGTCCATGTTGTCCTTCATGGCATCTGGATCTTTGGCCTCGTGGAGGTCTTTGAGCTCCTGCTGCAGCTTCTCGAGCTCCGCCGCATGTCGAGCATCTTCTTGTCTCAGGCCTTCCTCCATGCCAGCACGCCAACTCTTGTAGCTCTCGTCTGTCTCTTGGATCGTTGCCTCCAGTTTTTCTTGCCGGGTCAACGTCTTCTTCTCCTTGTTGAGCTCGCGCTGTCTCTCTCGGAGTTGCTCGCGAGGATTCTGGATGAGCTTCTGGCAATCCTCCAAGATCCCATTGTCGACTGTCCGCTTCTCGGAGATCATCTTCAGCGCTTCCTTGAGCCGGCGATTCTCTTCCTGAACAGCTCGCGCTGAGGTAGATGCCGAAGCTCCCGATGAAGACCCACCACCAGATCCTAATGGAACTTTTCTTCCATCGTGGCTGAGGAAAAAGGTCGGCCTTTCGGTCTTGTCCTTCTCCTTCTGGTTCTCCTTGGCCTTCTTCTGCTTGTCTTGATTCTTCTTGTCGACAGGCCAGGCATTCTTCCAATCCTGGGCCTTTTGGTTCCAGTTCTGTTGACCACGCCATGTCATTTCAGAAACTGGCTGACACCTAAGGCTGTATGTTGGCTTTGAGTGGTGTCTGGACAGTAGTGCCAAAAGCCTTTGAAGCTTGGCACACACCTTAGAACTCAGCACTTGTTTGTGCTGGTGGCGCTTGATGAAAGCCCGCGCCGTAGCACGATGTGCTCTCAAGCGCCGATGCCAAGTTGGCGATCTGGCCGCCAGATTCCAGCAAAGCAAAGCCACTCGCTATGGCGCGAAGGGCAAAGGATCGAGCGTGACTACGCTCTGGGGCTTACAAGCAATCTAGGCACAGCTAGTAGATCTTGAGCCCTAACAAGCAGATCCTAAAGATGAACACTTACAGGCTCATTCGCTCAATGCACATTTCAACTAACTGGCAATTCACCTGGAAAGAGCAAAATGGATCACCTGGCCAGTTACCCATCTTTCAGAGTTTTGTCAGGTGGTTTCTGGCATTCCTGAGTCTTTGACAAAAACGCATAATGAACACTCATTTGCAAGCTATGTTGAATGATTTCACTACTGGGGTAGTCCCTCCACGGTCTCATGACCCACGGCCATGTCTGAAGAACATTTGCATACTTAAACAGCACTGATGAGTTCACTTAAACAACAACCCAGGAAAACAGGGAAACCTAACCATCATGGGTAAACAACAGGGACATCCATTGTTATTCTCATCCCAAAATCATCAATCAAATGCCGGAAACTCTTGGGGAACCTACCCCAAAGTCGATCCAACAAAGGAAACAACCCCACCCTCCTCATCAGACCGTCGGATTTCTGCACCTGCTCTGATCGCTGGATTGGGCATCCCCCAAACGCCCAGGCTGCCAGGACAGTTGGGCAAAGCCCTCCAGCAGATTTGACCCAACTGAAGGGCCCAAAAAGTCCACCAAGCGCACCTGAAGACAAAAAGGACAAACAAGCCCCACAAAAAAAACCAGCAAGTCCACTCAAATTGTGTCGAAGGAGAGCTCTGTCTTGAAGAAAGCTGATGCAAACAGGAAAAATCTCGTGTGATGAGAAAAGATGAAAAGATAAATTCATAACAAAGATCACCTATATCAGTAACCAAACACTCGCATGCGAGAGGGATTCTTGAGTCGTTTGTGGATGTTTGGCTTTGGGTGTGAAACGGGCGATCGCCTCCAACCTAAGAGCGATGGCCTCCAACCTAATAGGAATGGCCTCCCAAACCCTTCAACGCTTTGTTCCATGGCACAAAGCCGCGACCCCTCAACTGCTTCGCAATCTCGCGCAGCATCAAGGGCCGTCGCCCTGAGCGTGCGGGGCCAAGTCCACGTGTTGAACTGATTGGACCGTCGCGACTCATGTTCCTATCAAAGAGCGTACGTCTCTGCCTTTTAACATGTGAGTCAACTGTATCTCACAGGGCCACAAGAAACATGTACGAGTATGAAACACCAATCCAAGGGATGGGCAAAAAAATAATCTCACAATGAGGGCACCACACCCTGTCAGCGAGGTCTGACACAGCAGACATTTGCCTGGCATTTTCCAGGCCTCGGAGTGCCTGCAACCGCTCCTGCCGCCTCACCACCACGCGCTCGCCGCGGGGGCCGGCACCCATCTTTGTGGGCGCACCATGGTCCTTGGTGGAGGATCTGGAGATAGACATGCCACTCTCTTGGAGAAGGACGAGTTTGAGGGACACCCAAGCATGTCGATTTTTGCTGTCAAAGTTAGTTGCGACATAAGTCATCTATGGTAATTCTATGTAATTCTGACATGCTCTCAAGTGACAGGGTTCTTCGGGTTGTTGGGTTCGCTACAGTGTGGAGGGCTTTTGTGCCAACATTAGCCCAGAAACAAAACAACCTGTGAGGCAGCTTGCGATAATTTCGCTCGCAATGAGGAGAGGTGAGAGCTGGTGTGAGATGGTGGAGGAAGCGAATTATCGTTGGGACCGCTCTATGTCAGATACGGAATGCAAAATTGTGATAAAAGCTGCAAGCTGCCTCTATCACAGTATATGTATAGGCAAATTGTGGCAAATTGTCATAACACGATGTCCCTCCAGCTGCAACAAGGTTGTTTCATCCATCTCACCTGCCGAGTTCGCTTCCACTTGGGGCCGGGCAGCGTTCATGGACTGTTCCCGCAGCTGGAAATACTCCACCGCTTCAGAGACCTTCCAGACACGTGAGACCGGAGTTAAGCGTTGGAGTCCGGCAGTGGGTGCGTTTGGCTCAAGTGACCATGGGAAGGTAGTAACAAGGGCATCGCTACTAGTAGCAAGGAGCATCGCTACTAGTAACAAGTGCATTGGCTCCTCCAATTTCCGCCCCAAGACATTTTCCCAGTGACCGACTGATTGACTTTGAGCCCCATCACTTTCTGATTGTGAAGCGGGAGACTAAACAGAGCGTACTATCGGTAGTATGATGCAGGAAAGGGTACAGGATAATCAACCTATCGCAGAATGCCACCCAAACCCGTCCGTCCTGGGCGTGGATCTCCACGGTTTGCTGATCTTCCCATCTGTCACATGTGTCATCTGCCTCAAAGCAAGTCAGCGAATGGCAGAAGTAACACTGCCTTCTCAACCCTTTACACCTGGATTCAAACAAAAGCTCACAACCCCGTGGCTTGCCCTTCCCATTCGCAGCTTTCCTTCCGCACCTGCTCCTGTTCAGAGCTGCTGCTGCTTCGCTCCTCACTGTGCCCGCTAGAGTCGCTCGCCCAAGCGAAGGGCCGCTTGCCTCAATGGATACAGGTTTGCGCAAAGCCACCCCATACGAGAGTTTAGCAAGCCTTTTTGTAGAAGCAACAATTGGAAAACACCACCTCTGGACTCTGGACCATACATTACTATTACTACTTCATAGATTAGTTGCATTCTAATGCTGAAACGGTAGAATATCCTTATTGCTTCCTGTTGGACTGTTGGTGAGCATGGATTTCTAACCACCCATTGGTTCCGACAGGATCTCCGAAACGTGCTCCTTCCACTGCTCTGCCGGGCTGCGCAATCTTCGCGGCTCACCGGAAGCGTCGTCCATCGACGAATTCGATCACGACACACCGGCGAGGCCCTCAAGTGTTTGGTCCCAAGGGCTGCAAGATGAGCGGAAAAAAAGAAAAACAGCATTCAACAAAACAGCAGGGGTCGGAAATTAAGAGAGGGAGAGAGAGAGAGAGAGAGAAAAAAAAAACGCAAGTCATGCAAGACTCCTTTGAAAGGACATGTTGTTCTTCGCGTTGAGGCAGGGCTTTCTTTTCAAATAAACGTGCCCAATCTTAGTGAGTCGCTGCGCTGGGCCAAAGAGCACGGATGTTCGTTTGAAATCGGAGCTAAAAAACGAGTTTCCATAGTTTCTTGCAGGATATTGCCTGTTTGGCCATGCTTGAGGCCAGAAGTCTTGCGTGCTGATCGAGAGTGTCCTCTTCCAAGGCAGCCAAATCGCTGTTGGCTTCTTGAAGTTCTTGCAACTTCTCCTGGCAGCCAACCCCCGTGGCCGATGATAGATTCCTAAATCAAAGCGCAAGGCCAGGCCTCAAACCTTGTGACCAGAAATGCTGCACACAAAGAATCAAATGCTTCGATACACCCCAACATCCCTGACTATATGTCTCTATATCATCTTTCTCGCGTGATGCCTCACTGAACCGAAAAACCCATTCCTTCTGTCCCATGAAGAACTCACGCAAGAGGCTCTCCCTGCAATGCGGAAACCGCATCGTGCGGCGCTCACCAAGGCGCCTTGAGCTGGCTGGCAATGGCCTCCAAGCGTGAGCGGATGATCTCCTCATCGCTCCTGAGGCATGTCTTTGCCTTTCGCTGCAAGTTTCTAATAGCCAAAGCCAGATCTTAGCGAGATTTCGATCACATCACCACGGAAGCCTGGTAGATAGGTAGCTTCACCGAATATTCAGCAAGGGAACAAAAGAGTGGACCCACACAGAATATCAAACCATTCAGCGAATGGGTGGCTACGTCATTTTGTTTCGCCTCCTCACCGTTCCCGTCGTAGTCTCCGACTCGGAGATTCCCTCGCCTTAATTGAGCCTCCAATTGACGATTCCTTCGCACCTGGCGAACCAAAGAGCAGTTCTATACAGTACATGTAAAAAATGTGTTGCGGAGGTTGCAGAGATTGAGGTCCATCAGTTTCCTGCACGTCACCGTGACCAAATCAAGTCAATCAAGCTATCACCATAGAAGGAAGCGCAAGATCCACTAGACATATATGTATATATGTACATATATATATATATATACACATTATACATTAATGATCCGATTTGAGGGAGATCGTCATAGTGTTTTGTTGAACGGGAGCATGCTTCGCTTAACAGGATAGCTCAACTGATCTCAGTCCCTCTTTTGGTGGTATACCTGTCATCCTTCCCGCGAGAACCGATGAGTTGTGAAGAGATGCGGCACAATGCCTCCCGCTCCATCTAGGGTTTCTGAGCCTCTCAGAACCTTAAGCGGTCATGAGTCATGAGTATTGGCCTACCAAGAGAAGCATGGAATACCTAGGAGTGTCAAAACCCATGAAATCCATGACTAGGTTGATGTGAAGTACAGGGTACAGGGGGGAGGGGCTTCTGATTCATTTGGAGCCTGGCATGAGAGCCACCAATGTTAACGTCTCAAACAAACATACCCCAAAACAGGATGTCCAACGCTTTCAGACATATACAAAGGACTGTCATTTGCCGGCGCACTGTCGCCACGCGGTGTCGCTCTATTTTGACCCGCACTTCTTGTGTCACATATGACGTAGCCGTCCTTGCCGCGGCATCTCCCGATTCACCTTGGAGGAAGGCAGATTAGACCACGCATGCCTACACTCACCCCGCACCACCGCGGCCGCGGCTGCACCTTCAAAGGGGGAAGTGGGAAAACGCATGCCTTCCCTTCCCTTCTTCGGTGCAGTTTTAGTTACTGTACACTCAGTGGAGTTCCACCGCTTTGTCCCCACAAACCTTGAGAGGCCTATTTTCAGCTGGACCCATGACATTTGTGAAGAATTGAACTGCGAAATATTGCGGAATAGATGCCCCAAACTGCAGTAGATACAGTGCATTCCAGGGCATTTGCTTGAACCTCCACTCTCATGTTTGCACATCTTCAATCTGCACATCGGGTACACCTTATAACCCGAAGGAATGACAATCAGGACTCAGCCAACACTGCGTGTCAATTCCAATATGATTCTTCAAGCCATACCCATTTCAGTCCAAGTGCTGAATGCCCCGACTTGAGCAGAATAGATTTCCCCTCAGCACAGTGGCCATATACTTGGTGACCAAAGAACGCAGCATGCGGAAAATGCAACATGTTGGTCCTGCCTGTTCTTTCCTTCTCTTCAAGGATTCTGAACAATAGAGCCAACCAAAGACAAAAGACATACTCTCTGCCCCATCATATCATACTGAGTGCACTCGTCCTTTTTGTGTGGCTGTCGTTATGCCAGCACACGGTCTGTCGGCTTTGCATAATAGGGAGATCGAAGATACAGGTTCACCTGGCTTCATCTTTTTGGAGCTGGGCAGAGACACCAGCAGCATCGAAGCTACGAGAGCTATCCAACACAACCACCCACCATCATCTAACCATCAATGAGGCCCAACACATCCAACCTCACTCAAGCACCGGTCAATCCAACCTTTGGGAATCTTTGAGACCGTTTTCAGAATCAAGGACCTACGCTAACCTCCATGTTAATCCTTGTCTCATCCCAGTCTCACCAACTGACCATCGATCAATCTACAAACGCCCTGTGGCTCTGCCCAGATTCTCCTGAAGCTCCCGACACCCGAGCGGATCCCAGGGACCAACCGGGAACGGTTCAGCGCTGTACATGGCTGAGAAAGTCTTCAATTCTGCGCTGTGTTCGCAGCAAACGCCAGATCTGTTTGGATCGTTCGGATCAGCTCATACGACAGGTGATTGGGCAGAACCGGTGATGTGAACCGCAGGAGTCGTCAGTCTTGGGATACTGTAATCGGTCTTCCTTCTAGTAGCAATGGCCTCCAACCCAATAGGAATGGCCTCCAACCTAGAAGAAATGGCCTCCACCCTAAGAGCGATGGCCTCCAACCTAATAGAGTCGGCAAGTGTGTAATTTGTTCCCTCCCCTGCTTCAGCATGTTCACATGGTGAGCATCGAACCTTTGGTTTTGGTGCCTTTCACCCTGGGCGCAAGCAGTATGACTTCCCACAAGACCAATGGCATCAATGTGCTTGGCTGTGGGCCCACCAATGAGTTCGGAAAGACAGAGCGATGTATTGAAGACTTTGGAAAGTCCGTGGGTCGAAAAATACTGCCGTGGTCAGCAAAAAGAAAGCAAAAGACGTCAGCAAAAACAGCAAAAGCTTGCCAAGTTGGTCTTGAAGGTACACGAACATTCTTGCAACTACAAACAAGCACATCAGTAACCAGTCGCTGCAATCACTTCAAAACCGAAAAACAAATCGAGAGATTTGGCCACGGAAGGTGATATCCAGCCAAGGGGTGTCGCGTACTGTAAAGCAGTACATCTGATGGATCTGTATCTCAGATTGCGTCAGATTGACTCGGTGCGCACTTCCAATGGCGACCGAATGTCCTGTGCCTAGGTTTCTCCACTTTTCGCAGTGACCGAGGCGTTGGGACAGCATCTGAGACCCTCGGTTGCTGTTCTGAACTGCGGCTCAGATGGTCCGTCATCTGTATCTGAAAACCCCACACACTCGCACTCCCTGTTCCAGAGCACTCTCCAATGAAGCTTTGGACCCATTCGTCGCGGTTGGTGTCTATGTTTCCCTTCAAACACCATGCATAAATATTTAAGATAGCACAATACAAAAGATAAATGATTTTGGAGAGGATCCACACAAACCACCTTTTGCACTTTCTGCCACCTATTCTAGAAACTGGACTAGATTGTGCTTTCTTCTGAAAGCCGGGCACTTCATCAGGGACATCAACTTGCAAGTCTTATATATATATATACAGTATATACTGACAACAAACCGACTCCAGGGAAGGCGTTTGAAGACGCGAGTGTGATGCTTCTGTCGGCAGTCGCCACGCAGGCAGCACTTAAGCAGATAGCTTGTGAAAACAATGCTGGGAAACCCTATGGGTTTGGTGTGGCTAAGACAACTGTTTTCGTTGCATTAAACGTTGATGCTTGATGCTCGAGACACATCCGCCGGTGACAGCCTGTTTGCCACAGTGCAATCTCTCAGGAGTTCAAAATAGAGAGGAACAACTGCATCCATTCACTTATTTTCACTCAGGTATAGTACTTGTCGCGACCTGGCAGGCCCAATGAAAAAGATCCACAGCAAGCTCCTCTGGCATGCTGGGCAACCTGCTGCCTTTAGATAGGCAAGTTTCCCCTCAAATCTAGGACGCAAATGAATAGTGCCAGGGCTTTCCAGCGTGCAGTAGCTAGTAGCTTCTGGATCGCTGAGAAGCTACTTTCCCTTTGCTTACCTAGCTTACTTAAGCCTACTCTCACGGCCTACCTCCCCCTAAAAAGAGAGAAAGCACATACAGGCATACAGTGTATCAATTCCTGAACTTCTGTAGCTAGTTAAGCTTTGTGCTTATATAAATACTGGAAAACGGAGAACATCGGAGGACATGAGGTAGAAGCGTGTACCAATGATGACGTCACTTGCGGGCTCACTGGGTCTTCATTGTGCTAATATAAAAGCTTCCTCTTTCAAAACCACTTTGCAAAGACCTGGCTTGCTGACCGGATGGCCTGCGAGGTGGGCTGTTCTGGAAAAGGATTAACACCACTCCAGTAATGTAACTATGAACACTATGACTCTTAGACCCTTTGGCGTTCCTTCCCCCCTAGGATGCGCATATTAAACGTTTCTATGTTAACACATGTTAACACTAAAGTATCTACTTTTCAATCCTGACCCAACCTGTAGTTCTGAGGGTGTCCGACAACCCATGCAGTTTCACGTGAACAGCGCCTGGAATCCTTTGTGGGCCCTCCAAGCCCCGCAGTTCCACCTGCGAGAATGACATTCAGCTCCTCACCCAAGGGGCTTCACCATATAACTTTAGACTACCTACCCTTTCACCACTTGTGGGGGCACACCAAACTTGCACCTTACCCTAACATGTGCAAAAGCACAACAAAGCATCACAACACCCCTCTCAACTAGTGTCTACTTCCGAAAAACCAAACTCCATGTGCAAATTCCACCAATCCGAGAGCAGCTCCAAGAACAGGAAATATGAGCAGCAGCTGTTGGCTAAGATTCTGCTAAGCCTCTCTCCCTCCGCCAGTCGCTATCGCCAGGTTCGGCGTGCGCCCGGTGCACGGAGATGTGTGGTCTCTTCGGCCTGACAAGACTTGGACAAAGTCAAAGTTGAAAAGCGGAAGGAACAGGAAACACAAGATGAACCATGAAGCCATGATATTGTTCTTATCTGCGATTCTTGTGGGGTTTATCCGCTGAATTCTTTCAAACTACCACAATGTTAACGCTTTAGCCACGGAGAAAAAAATAACGCATTTGGTTTTCCTCTAGGCTAGATCACAGTGAAATGATTTGTTTGTATCAAGGCTGTGATAGACCCAAGTACATGTAAACACATAGGGAACGGCAGGTATTTGAGACGCAAACACAAACTGTTTTGTGAAACATATTCCTATATAATTAGCTTCTAGCGGCTGGTGGATTCCTCCTTACAGGAGTGGGACACATCGAACACTTTGCCAGGCTCGACAATTGAGATTCTTCAGGATTCAACTTAGCACCTTCACCGATTCACTGCAGTACGGTTTTGCACAAAGTCCTGCACCACCTGGACCTGAAGGACACCTCCGTTCTATTGACACTTGCGTGGTAGAGCGGATCAGTGGTACCCCTCGGTACAAAAAGCTATCCAGGAATTTGCAACGCACACGCCGCAAGAACAGTTCTGGCACAGCCATAGTGCAAGTTCAGTCATCCTCTCCATCTACTTACTACACTCGGCCTTTCAAACAGGCTTCGCACAAGTTTTGCTTGAAATTGGCTGAGTCTCTATACTAAACCTGAACTACAGTAACGTTAACTACATAGGGGTTGGAATCTATCTTGGATCTCTTATTCTGAATTTAACTCAACCTCCAGACCTGAGTGTCTGTGCAGTGTGCCATCGAGGGTTCGATTCAATTCTTCAGGTGGTGGGCCGTGAAACACCCAACATAGTGCCGGCACCTTCAGAGCTACTGACCTCTACTCTGTTCGTCCTCCTTCCACTTACATCAAACAAATTGCACCCCGCTTGGAGGCTGACGAAGAAATCTCGGACTTGTGTGAGCTCGACCACCAAATCTCTTCAAACATCGCCCGGGTGTGATACCAGTTGCGTTCCCAAAAAGAGTGTTTATGCACCCAAGTGTGTTTTGGATTCACTGGGGCGGTCAGGATAAGAGAAAAAGCAAGTCGACTGAACCAAAAGTGGACATACCATGATGAACCATAACATAGAGGCGTTTGGCGTGCTTTCGGACATGTTCACCAGCCAAGTCTCCTTCTTCTCGCCCTTCACTTGCCAAATGCGTCGCTCCGGCTTGCGAGAAGTCCAGTGTGTGGAATGGATTGGCCTCTCTGCGCAAACAAAACTAGGCATAACAGGGTTTCATACAGTGGTTGGTGCGATCCACTCCATGAACCGTGCATAATATGAGGTTGATCCCCTCTATGATTGAGCAGGTTTCACGTCCTAATCAGTAGTTTATACCAGTCCGAACCAATAGGTGTCGCTAACATTCAGAAAACAGTAGCTTGAAAAGCACACAGGGTTAACTCTTCCAAGCAGACCGAAACTGTTGTGACTGAAGCAAACAAATCCCTGAGAACGCATCCGAATTATATAGTCATGGTCAAAATAGTTTTTCATAGGTTTGCTGATTGCCCTCGTGTGTTCGACTTCATCAATAAAGCACAATTCAAGATTGGCAAGTTCCAGGTCCCGCCAAGGCGTTGCCTTCCCCACCGAAGTGTGGCATGTGCCTCTCATCCACCTCTGACGGCTCGGAGTCCGTGTCATGCGGTGATTGCGCAGTGCCCGCACTGGTCTCATCGTCGGCCTCAGCCGGTGGGTGTCAAAGTTAACGAGTGACCAAACACGCCGGTGCCCTTGAAGCCCTTGTCTGGAAAAGGCATCAATGAACATAATGAACCAGCCAACATCGACGAAATCAACCACAAACCAATCAACCAGCCCAACCCACCAACAAGCGTCCCAGCCACTGAGCCAACCACCTAGCTGCTCGGTTGCCAACCAACCAAGCTTCGCCAAGCAAAGCCGAAACAAAAAAGCAAGCAGCCGACCACCAATAGGGGTCAATCTACAGCAAGGCTGTTTTGAGGGTTCTGGATTCTAGAGGTAAATCTGCATGGGTTCTTCTCGGTGTGTTTAAAGGACTCTTCTGGAAGAGGACCAATAAGCTGAACTTACCTCGAATTCTACTTTGTCATCTACAGATTTGAAAAAAACTATGCAGTCTGCCAGACCCCTCAATCGCCATGGGATTGGTTGACATCTATGGTAGCAAGCTTTCTTCATACTGTGGGAATCAACCAGGGTCAACCTGCAGCCGGCCGCCGAGAATTTTTACTTGAAAAATGGTCTGCACATGTTTGGAAGTTCAAACTGAAACGAGGATGGTGAACCATCTTACTCCTGTACATTTTGCTTCTAGGTTGGAGGCCATCGCTACAAGAAAAAGGAAGAAATCCAAACACTAGAATGGTTGAGAGCATTGGATTGCTGATCCTTCCCCTGTTGCAGATTCGCCAGGTGATCAAAAACTGAACAAAGACAAACCTGACACGTGGATCGCATCGAACAGCTTGGTTGGGCAAATAGTACCAGACATCCTCAGGTAGCGGTAGTAGTTAGATATATTGCATGATATATTTGGGCAGTGAAACAAATTGTGAAGCATATCAATGGAAGAGACCATCATGGCAAAGGTGAGACACCTTCTGAAAACCCAAAACAATCCGGTGCTGGCTCAACTGTCCGGCTCGCCGCAAAGAAGGCCTTGTGGTCCTTCTCTTCTTTGCGGTCTTCCAGTGTGGAAATTCGCTCTCCTGCCAACCCGTCGAGATGTTTGCGAAAGGTGAAAACGGAGTGCAGCCCAAGGAGTCTGATTCGTCAGGTTCCACATGGTTCCACGACATGCTTCCCATCGAGAAGACGATGCCCTATGTCCTTTTATGTCCATCGAATTCCGCATGGCTCTTTCCTGAAAGTCCCTGATTTGCGCCTGCTTCTGGCTCGCTGGTGGCAGTTGTGTGGGCGACCAAGGCGAGAGTAACCGATGCAAAACGGACAGCTGTAGAATTGTAGAAGCCTATGAGGTCACAGGTCACAACAGGTCACATCGGATCACCATGTTCACCATCTTCTTCCACTGGAAAGCAAGGTTATATAACCCACTTGCGTCGCACGTGACACGAGAACTCGCGGGACAGCCTGGCAGTTCAGTAAAGAGCTGCAACTCTGATGGCTGCTCGAGACCAGGTGGAGGTTGAAACTTGAAATCCTCAGCAAATCAGGATGAGACCAGGTTTACCTCACCATGTTGTATTAGAGGTCATTGACGGTAAACAGAACTCGAAAGGGGTGTTAGTGAAACTGGAGATCCCTTTTTTGGGGTGTTGTTCGGATCGGATTCGTTGGATCGGAATCTACTTGGTCAGATTTTTTTGCAGCCTATCTCAGTGGGCCAATGAAGACTGCATGGGAGAATGCAACTATGCTCGGGTTCTTCGTTTCAACACATAGGTATCCCGGTATCCCGGTATCCCACCAATTCTGGCTGAGCAAATGCGTGCAGTGAACCGTCTAGAATCTAGACTAAGGAGCGGAATTGCCATTGCGTAGAAAGGGGCCTGTCATCAGAAAGCTACACTGTGATGAGACAAACAATTTGTGGAGAAGCCTATTGCTGCAAGCCTTGATGAGCTCGACAATACTAGCTGCTAGCTGTAAGCAACTGAACTGTACTTAGCAATGGAGATGGAAGTAGCTAGCCTGGTAGAAAAGACTTTCCAGAGCAAAGAGTGATCAGCGTATGACCCCTGGCCCAAACATTTGCCTTCAGTCCAGCCCCGGCCAATCAGCCACTTTCAGCCAAGGGGTCTGCGCTCACCGCAACCACGCCAGTGCCCGGCAAAGAATAGCCCTGGAGATTTCACCAGCAAGTGGTTGGGAGGCTGATGTAATCAGTGGCTTTTTGTAAACCAGGAAGGACACCAAGTGAGCAGGAGTGAGCAGGAGCTTGCAGGTGAAGCATTATTGAATTCAGGATAAACACCAAAGCCACCCGCCCACGACAAACTCCAACCTCATGCCGAACTCTTGTCCATTCAAATCACTTCAGCTGTACGCATGCAACATTTCAAACAAGGGAACTATGATTCCTTACCATTCTCCTACTAGTTTGTGGACCGTTTTCTTTTCACCCATCTCATTCCAGTCTATCTAGAGTCTAGAGTACATGTGGGTCACTGAATATAGTTCTGACACCCTGACTGGTGCTCTACAACACATCTCCGAGAACAAATGATCAGTCCCAGTTACTACGGTAGATGTTACTAGCAATTATATACTAGCTATCATTCCAACCTGTAGCAAGCAAATACTCCAATCATCAAAGACACAGATTGTCCTTCTCGTTTTTTTGGCCATGAACCCACCACAGCGAAGCCCTTCAACGTTTCTGCACCTTGATGTCATTCTGGGGCAGTGGGAGCTCCTCCTCCTGCTGCACAAAATGGTGGAGAGGTGTGCTGTGCACAGTGACACAGCTGGAGGCGGGAAATAGGTCAAAGCCTCACTTGATCTCTCGGTGGTCGCCGTATCATAAAAAAACTGAAATAAGGGCTGGGTGGACTGCTGTCTCCAAGATCAAGCCACATGAACGGTGCGAGTCTGTGACACACACAGAGTGCACTATATACATAGTACGAATTCTGCAGTCTTTTCTTAAAGCCTCTTGCATAACCATGAACACAATCCCTGGCCAGTGATGCCTCACTTGAAATTTGTGTGCTGTGCTGGCTGTGCTTTGATGATATGGTTGATTGCCATAGAAGGGCTAGCATCGTAGCATAGAGCAGCTAAAGTGATTGTGTAATGTTGCTTGGGTAGGAAGCCACTCTGTTATGAATTGCCTCTTGTGACTTCGTTGCCTTCGTATCTCTTCCTTTCTCTTCAGCCGTCCTCAACTTCAGTGGTGTCCCGATACCACTCGAAGCCCTCAAGTGACAGGAGAGAGACTGCAATGATCGTGGACAGTTGCATGTCAAACATGTGAACATTTCCATCAAACACCAAACAATGTCAATGTTCCATGTGTGGTGTCTTGATTCGTCTTGTAGGGTTGTCCCAAGACACCTGCCTTGCAGGTTGGGGCTCTCCAAAGTCGGATGATAGTCTGCGAATACAGTACAAACGAGAACTACAAATAGAGAAACAAATGGATCCTTTCACTTGTAGATGATGGCTAGTGTGTCTTTCCCAAAAGAAGGGCCGGTTGGAATTGAATAGACCGGGGTTGACACCAGTAGATGTCCTTGTCACCCAATGTCACCTGCTTAATGTTGGGCCAAAAACTAGGCGCAGAATAATCGATCGCGGACGCCGCAATATGCCAAAGCCTCTTACAACTTCCCCAGGGTGTAGCTACTCCAAAGCGGAAACATGAACACAACTCTTGTGGGCAGAAGTAGCGAGGCATACTACATCATAATACTTAGACTATGAATGTATACAAAAGTACTTCCTGCAAAAACCACTGACAACGTGGCGGTGCAAAGAAGGAGGCAAAGTTCGCCCAATAATACAAGTTAATACGATGTCTACGAACATGTATATATGTATCTGTATTTATGTGAAAGTTACACGACCGGTCGGGGATGCTCCACTCACTCATGCTGATCTTGCTGCTAGCGAAGCCAAATCACACCGAATTAGGTCTGCATAACCTCGTATACCTCAATTGATTCATGCTATAACAGCGAGTTTCATGCTACTGACAAACCTCAATGCTACGTGCCAGGGCTTGTCAGTCCATGTTTTTGCAACCTTCTTTCTCTGGAGATGCATGGGCCAGGACCTTCTTAGTGACCTTTCAGGATTTGCAACTGACCCTTTGAAGACCTAAGCAGGGTGATGTTTCTTTCAACTTTGCTTATCCGCTCGCTCGGGTTGCTGGGATTTTGAAACTACTCCTGCGTGCCTTCAATGGCTTGACCAAAGAATCAACATCGATGCGGTCCAAGAGAGTTGCAGGACGTGCAACAAATGACAGGATCTAATGGATTTGAGATTTCCTTGGCATTAAGGCCTGATAAGTACTGATAAGTACCCAGCAGCTTCAAAATGCTTCACAGCCAACACAGTGGTCAAGTTTCCCTAAAAATCTAGAAACCAAATCATTGGTGCGAGCACTTCTTCAAGAAAGCCTGAGGGCGGGGGGAGAGCTTCCTAGAAGAAGCGCTTGCACTAATGATTTGGTGCCTAGATTTTTCAGAAAACTTAACCCGGAAAAGTTCCACACCTGTGGTCGGCCTGGAATTATCAGCATTCTCGCATGTGCCTTTTTGCTCGTAGCTGCAAAGCCTGCCAAGACACCTTCCCAGGGCCAAGCTTGTACCAGTTAATAGTGCCTGTGACTGCAGCTTCAGCTGGATCGAAGTAGTAAGTCCAACTGCCCCACCAGACCCTGGCGGATCGTGGAGCCATGAATCCGAACAAACTGGCAAGCGTGCGAAGGTCTAAGTATTCTCTGTAGATCTCTAGGACTCTCGGTAGAGTTTGCAAAAAAGAAAACAAACAATAGCTAGGGTGGACAAAGCACAGTGCCTTTCTTACACCATTACATGGTTGGAGAAGAATGTCGCAACGCTAGTAGTACTATTGAGAGCTGGCAGGGTCTATGGGATGGACTTTGTGAGGGTGGGTACAATTATGCAATCATGGTGCCTACAAAAGTACCAAACAGTGGGTGATGCTTGAGTTCAGAGTATTTGTGATCCAACGAACATAATTGTTTCATGGATGGGCAAGACCCCTGGATTTCCAAACACACACCACCCCAACTCCAACTCTGAGCTTCAACACCTGGACACAAAGTACTGGAAGAAAATATCCCACCAGGTTGGCCCGGCCCGTCTCAAAGCAAGTATGCTTTAGGACTTTGCATTTTCATGAACAATGGTGAAGGCTTTCAAGGGTCTTCATCACACAGAGTCGCAAGGATTACCATTCTTGGAATGGGATCAAAGAATGCTGAGGGCCGCAAGACTTATGGCGGCTCATGGGCTATCCAGTCGGCAAATCTTCGGCCCACCCACTCCAGCTTGTACAGGAAATGATTCATGACCCCCCCAGACACTCCACACAAATGCATGCTCCAGAGTGACTGGCCTCTGAGTGGCTTCGTCGAACCATATGGTGAATTTCCTGAAACTCGACGGCAAGGTCGAAAACAACCGGTTTCTCGAAGGGTCACCGGCATAGAGGACAACTCTGGCAACGGCAAACGGTACAGCGAAGTGTTTCCCGGCCAAGATGCTACCAGTAAGAGGACAGAAATTATTGTCACCTGTCCTCTGTCTGGATCTTTAGCAGATTATTGTCCAGTCCCAACTGTAAGGGGAACAAAAGGTGATCCTGTCTGAATTAGCCTATCGAAGAGTGGTCCATAGATTCCCTCTTTCAACTTACAGAAGGGAGGAGCATTCTCCGTGTGTATCCCTCTTAGCTAGATTGGTGCTGAGGGGCTCACATTCTCTTCATGTTGATTTGACAGTTGTGCTACAGCAAGCATAAGCAATCACAGGCGATTTGAAACAAACATACAGTAAACAAGTGTCCCAAATTCATGCATTTGATTAAATTGATTATAGAATCTTGAGCTTCGGGCATCTTCAGACTGAGCGATAGTTACACTCACACACACTTTGGCACAGAGTCTTCCCTTTGAGGGATTCTGCAAACGACCCGGATGCGCAATCCTCGTGGACCTGCCCAACAAACTTGACACGAGTTGCTTGCTGCTTCCATCGCATCCAGAACGAATGCAACTCCAGGTGCTGCTGTTGGCAGCGTCGGATTCGAGCAGATGGAGTTCGTAGGTCTCTCCCTGCAGGGCTGGTCAAGTCAGGGTTGGTCAAGCTCCGTTCCTCCAATCTTTTGTTAAACGTGAGTGCCCCAACCCTGAATGTGCGAGCCGCCTTGTGAGACTTTTGGATTATGCATGGCATAGCCAGCTCTTAGGTAGCACAAACAAACATCACCTGCTGCTTTTTTTGAAGCTTCCTTGTTCCAAGTTCCAGGTGACTTCGTAGATTCTTAAGATCTGTAACAACTTCAATCGGCCTCCAAACCAGCATTGATACAAGCTACACACCTGTCAGTCACTGCCACAGCCTATACACCCGTGGATTAAGTTTAGATGTTTTGATTACATAATGATTTCACCTATGGAACATCCCCACTCTCAATGGACAGTTCTGGGAGTCCCTTCTCAGCCTTCGATCCGACGTAGTATCCGGTCCTTAATTTGGGCCAACCAAGCAATACTGGCTATCCATGACCTCAAGGGAATGTGTCTATATGTATTTATTGTATGTTAATTACACTGTTTGTTATCACTTTGAATTTCTCTCTCACACACACAGAAACGACGGCATCTCATTCGTAGCTTCTGTTCATCCACCTGCGCGAACAGTGACCACTTTGCTCCTGGAATCGTGAGCCGTCCCACGTGCAAACCCCGCCATAGTAGGGTGAACCATCTTACTCCTATACATGTTGCATCTATGGGAGGCCATCGCTATTATACACATATATATATATAGAAACAAGACAAAATAGAGGAAGAAATCCAAGCAGGCACCTTGATGGTGTGGAACCAAACAATCCAGTCCTGAGGAGAAAGTAAAGCGATCCTCCCTGTTACGAATACCATTGCCCTCTGAAACATGTTTCGCCAAACAGCGGGCGATGGTCCCACACTTGTGACAGGCTGTTGTGAGTGCAACTGGGAGGCAAAATCGTCTCGTGCAAGGTTGCCAGTAGCTTATTCTCTTCTGTCCGTGACGGCACCTGCGTCGGCACCTCGCGGCCGTATCGAGGTTCCGTGATAAGGTTAAGTTCAATATCTGGGTATATAGGCCGCAAAACATCCGCCAGACCAAAGCTGAGCAAACTCCCTGCAGTGAGACACTTGGCAGAATGAATTTAAAGTATTTGCACGCGTTCTGAGAAAGAACACTTTGACAAACATGTCATTAAATACAAGTCGAGTCGCTGCTCGTACAGCACTAGGTCGCTAGGTGCTTTCAATATGTGGATCCGCAAGACACACGCTCAAAGATTCTCAAAAGCTATAACTTCACAACATACTACCACACAACTCTAGTACCTAATCGGAGCAATTACTTTTCTCCTTAGGTTCCAGGCAGGTTCAGTTCCAGTCATCTCTGGAACAACAACAACAACAACAACATCAACATGTGAAAGCATGAAGCCAATTTCCCCGAATCATCAAGGGTGGTCTTAGCAATTTGATTTTCTCAATCAGAATCATCACTTCTCCCAGAGCTGCAGCAACATCTCGTTCTTTGAGCCCCAACGTCTTCAAAGATCTTCAAAGCAACCGGTGGATTCGATCCACAGCAAGAAAGTCATCGCATGACTATCATGACTGATCGTGTCAAACCAAGACCAGGAAATCTCTCCAGCCAACCCCCCCGGCAATAGATTTCCCCAAACGGTTCCCCCAACGGCCCATGAGAAGCAGTTTCCTCAACGGCTTTCTCCACCCCCAAGCCAGCGTCCGCTCTCGCCGGGTTGCCTTGCGCTCGCTTTTGGCCCCGATGGGTGTCGAGTCCCTGGCAGCAAGGGATGAATCGTCCAAGGTAGCAAGGGTCGGTGGAGAACAGGCAAGATGCTGAGAGGCTGAGAGGATGTAGTATCATTCGATCCGTGCGCACTTTGGCTCCGAAAACGATCCACAACCCAAACCCACCTGCCGGATGGGAGAGATGCTGTTGAACGGACCCTTAGATGAGATACTGGGTGGCATTGGGACTTGACCCCATGATCTGTCAAATACCTGCATGGTCCAAAAGCTCCTATTGTTCTGTGTCACAATTATCTCTCTCACCTCACCAGACCCAAGATTTGGCTTTCCGTAGTTGTCTAAGAGAGGAAATTCTCCTCATTGCTTCTTCTCATCTTTCCAAACCAGCGGCCCCAGTAGCGACTTGCCTCTTCCGCCAACGACCAACAGTCGAGGACATCGCTAGCACCTGTGACCAGGACACACCGACCTGGAACACACCCACCTACAAAAACAATGATCAAGCCCTGGGAGTGTTCATGTTGAGAGGGCACCTTGTGTTGAAAACATGCCAAGAACCAAAAAGGTTCTCCAGCGAAGTGCGCCGAAGTCTGAAAAGTTAGGGTGAAAGGAGGTTGGACACCATTGCGACAGGCTAGTGGATGCACATGGTGAACCTAAGTAGAACACTTTGAGGGGCATATTAACTTTCTCTATTTCATTCTATTTTGGGATCAGTACAGTGAACAACCGCTAGCAGTGGATAGATAGTGTTTCCACATGTAATATCCTTAGACTCAGACAGAAGGCCTGGTTCTAAACTTAAACAGGGCGAAAAACTGGGACCAATGTAATTAGTTGCCATGGGATCAACATGCTTTGTAGGCAATGCTTCGCCAGCCTGTAGACACCAAACAACAGTCCAATCACCCGTCGAGCGCGGGGCCAACGGCCTCTACAGCTGATTTCACAGGCAATTTCAAAAAATAGGTGGATTTGCTGGAATGGCCGCAGAGATGCATCTTTGTCGGCAGTCTTCTGACAAATGGGTCTGTTGCCTCGATGTTTTCTGGGCTTGGGGCGAGGGTCAAAATTCCAAAGACATGTTGGGCACTCTAACAGGAGTTGGACCACCAAGCAATCGTGGTTGTCTCAAAATGAGGGGAAGGGGGACAATTCTTCTTCTGTGTGGCCAACCGATGCGAAAACGATCGATCACATATCTCAGAAACTATATCTATAAACATGTGGTCTTACATCAGGATTAAACTCCAAGTGGCCACAAGGCCGACATCTAACAAAGAACATGACACCTCTCCTGCTTGTATGCCTTGGCATGCAGAATGGGGGATTGATCCCGTGTTACCAAAATATCTCTGAAAACTCCTTGGATCTTTGCTCCAAGATCTGCAATTCAATCTTATGGAACGCCATTCTAAGCATCAATCATCCGGCAAGAATGCTGCTCTTTGTGGATGCGAACGTCTGAGATTGCAGAGGAGTCAAAGTCTCTGAGCTCTCAAGCCAGGCATCTTTCTTCTATGCCAAGGCCAAGCATGTCCCGAAACAAAAAGAGATCCTCCCTCTGCAACGGCAGCTGGGAAGTGGCCGGACAGTCCATCAGTCTCGTCAACTGGGATCGACGTTGGCCCCAGGGTGCTCGATCTTGCTCTCACTCCATGCCGAGAAAGGAGTTTGTATCTTTCAACGTCAGGAAGAACCCATGTGAACATTCAAACAGTTGTGGCTTACAGTTAGGAGGTCAACATTCACATCCATCTGCCTTTGTGTAGGTTGTTCCCTGCATGTTACTTTTGATACACTTGGTGCACTGCCAGTGCTAGTTGTTGCTACGATCGTTTTGAACGAAAAGCAAGCACGTACGAGACCAGGACAAGGGCGACTTGCATCCCTGATCGGCCCACATTGGGCTCACATATGCTGAAAATTGCTGAAAGAACCATGGTATTCATGGAGTTCAAATCACACAAATACTGATAGACTGATAGACTCTTGCAAGACCCCGTAAGGCCTCGTCAGGCCCCATCACGCCCCACCACACACCCGGAGCCAGGATTCGTCGATCCGACGGGCGCCCAGTGAGGTGAGTTTCAGTCTCAGGCCATGTGAGTGCGGATCAAATATCAATAAGATTCAATAAGTATCGGCAACCAGTGGTCCAAACACGTAAAAGTCGAACGCATCGACACAAATTTAGCCTGCCACTTTCGAAGGTAGGCGGGATTCACTGGGTGAAGCTATCAAGGAAAACACATCTGGTGAGTTTCAATAGGTTTTGCCACTGCCATATGAGTGTGTGTATCAGCCGACACCATGACATCATGACATCAGAACAATTCGCGGATCTCTACGAAGGAAATAAACACCCAAGATGTCTGCATGCTTGACCTACACCCACATCCTTTGGGCCTTCGTTTGTGCGCTTTAAAAGAAAATAGGCACTCAGCGGCGCCAGAGCGGCAACGTGGGGGGGAGCCACTCGGCGGCTCTCCCAAGCCTGGAGAATGGATCAACATGGATCTCGGGGGCAGTAGCGTGGCCAGTGGTGCCAGTGGGTCCTCCGTCTTTAAGACACACACACACACATGATACACTTATGTGCTCTGCAGCTTGTTTATTCTGATCTTGAAGCACTGGGCTTCAGGGATGAGGCAACCCTGGAGGATGGTATTTTGTTATAAGGTTTTGCCAGACCACACAACCCTCTGCTGGTTTGGATTATTCTGGAAGCGTCATGCCTTCTTAGCATACCTTTTACATCCCTTTACAAAGGTTTGTCCAAATGCTGGAAAACACCTGCGTGCGATTTGGGACAATTGATATTCCGTGGTTTGAATCCAAAGGTTTTCAAGGATCACTTGAGGCAGCACTTCATCAGCTAGGAATAGAAACCTCTGCTTTCAACAATACAAACTCTTTGGTGGTTCTACACACATATGTAACATTAGTGTTACAGGGGCTTGCAAAATCATTTTCATGTTCCGTCTCTTCAAAATGCAATCTTTGCTACAAACTCTGGGCCCACATGGCCTGTGAGCCGGACCATCATCCGAACACTTCGCAAGCGACGCGATCGCACGCCACAGAACCTGCTGAAGGATCTCAAAGAGCTCTTCCAGCGCCACTGAAGATGTCGTGGAGATCAACTGATCGACGTCCTGTGGACCGACTCGGCACTTTAGGTCGGTCCGTGGAGACTTTAGTTTCTTATGCACTTCTCACCGATGGACAGAATCCACTTTTTGTCAGGAGATTTTCTTATTCCCAAACCCCGCACGCAGTGTCCACGCCTGGGGCGTGGCAAAAATGTCCAGGCGCCGTAGGGCTTCACTCAGCTCGAAGCGGTCGATGACGCGATTGGGCACGAAGTGCCGTGGCACCTTGTAAGGCGTTGGCGAATTGCCCGGTGAAGTTAGAGTAATGTGTTCTGTGGAGTGGGGTTTAGAAGAATAGTTGAAGGGATGTTCTTGAACAACATGTGGGGTTAGTGGTGAAGAATCTACAGCAACAGCTTCAGATTGAAGGACAGCAACCCTCAAGAAACCTAGAGTGATCAGGGTTACGCAGTGAGGGTAGAAATCCGGAAATTCTCTTGAACGAATCTTTCAACAGTCAGCATCGCAACGTATTAGCCCCAGCCCTGGCCCATCACGCCTTTCCGTATCTGCTTCCTTTGAACTGACCATCGGCAGCCTTTCACTCAAGCAATTGGAAATCACGACACTCAGAGTGTTAGCCCATGCATTTGGTCGTGTTTACCGTCTATGTGAGGTCTCACTGCTTGTAGACCAAAATCAATACACAGATTGATCACGAGAAACCCATCAAAAGCGGAAGCTGGTTGGACTGAAGGGAGACTGCAGCTGATGCTCTTCAGAGTTTGCTTGCTCTGCATTCCTGCATAGGAATTAACTGGGTTTACCATGGTTTACCACCGGATGGTGGAGAGGAATCACTGCACACTATCATCTTCACTCAAGACGTTTTCAGAGACCCATTCTGTGAGTATAAGGATTCACGACCTTAACAACCGTCAGCATTACCGTCCATCACGACCAATACATTCTAAATCTTTATACCGTCATAACACACACACACACACACGCGCGCACCTGCAACGACATGAACAAAAATGTTCAGGATCTGACTTGTCAGGACGTGTTGATCCTGGAAGTCCAAATTGGTTGCTTCTCTCCTGGTCGCTCAACTTTGTTCAGACCCTATGCCTTTCATAGCCCTACCAGCAATCAATTTGTCAGGAATGAAAGATCTAGAACACTCAAGTCACTCTATGCAACTCAATGCATCAACACAACTGGCTCGGATCGTTTTCTTTGAAACACCCCGATCCTCCAAAGACTCCGAAACGCCAAAAAGCCACCGCATTGGTCGAGGGACTCGAAAGAACCACTGTTGCAGTCCCGAGGGCCGAAGCTCCTTTCTTGGCTGGGTACCATTGCTAGATGCTTGAAGGCTTGTGCCACTTGTGCTTGTGCTGTTTGGGGATCATGATGCGTCATGCCATGTCATGCCATGTCCTGCTCCCCTTTCAAGGCAACCGAATGCTACAGTCCCCGTAACTCCACCCGTGTCTTCGATCGAGTCGTCCGCACTCCGCACTCCGGCGGACCTGGTGGAAAGTCTCCACATCGCGGATCCGTGTGCCGAAGAGCCGCACAGAAGCATCCAGCCTGCATCCGAAGCCAACCGCGAGCGGCCCAGGCCCGAGGCATTCATCATGTTGTCTGTGGCTCCACCAGTTCCCACAGAAACTATATGAGAACCTGATCTCTCCAAGTGAATTAAATCCAACTGTGAGTTGTACGCTGTACAACATGTTTTCACTTGAAGCACACCCGTCCGCACCGCAGGGCGGGCTCATGAGTCTAAAACAGGTTTCGGCCGCAACGCGCTCGCGCGCGTTCCAATTCGTTGTGCGGTGTGTCTTGGCCACGACTTTGTCTACCTTGGTTTCTACCTGGGCCTCGACTTTACACCCTACGCTACGTTGGACCTCGTTTGCCATCGATAGCTTCGCATTGGTAGCGGAGCCCAAACCCGTGAAGGGGGAGGGCTCCAGCTGCGCACTCCGGTTCCTCGAGCCGCACGCTCTCGACAAGTCCTTCGGTGACTTCCCTCTGCGGACTTGGCCACGCTCCTGTTTCCTGAGTTCTTTGTTGGACACCCTTTTGGGAGGAGCACGGCGGAGATCTTTGTCCCACAGAATGCCGCCGCCAAAGCAGCAGAAGGGAGATGGAAGAGGAGCGTCGAGCTCGACGACATCCAAGCCAGATGAGACTGGCTATGCTGACCTTCGGGACTCCTATGTTCCCCTCTTCTCCGGGCAGCCGGCCGACTACAAGGAGTGGCGTCAACGCATCCAGCTCTACCACCGCAAGATGTCGCTCTCCAAACGGTCCCAAGAGAGTGTTTTGAACATTGTCGGATCGTTCAAAGGTGTAGTCTGGCGCCTATTCGAAGACTGGGGTATCGACAAGCTGGAGAAGGACAACGCCTTTGAAGACATGCTCAAGGTGTTGGATGGCAATTTCGCCTACGACCAACGGGTCCAGTTGCCATCGGACTTCGAAGGCTACTTCTCAGGTCTTCAACGGCTCCCTGGTCAGACGCTTCTCACCTACGTCAATGACCACGAAGAGGCCTACAGGAAGCTCTTGGCACACAAGGTGAGCCTTCCTGATGAAGTCCAAGGTTGGCATCTCCTCCGTCGTGCAGCGCTGACGAAAGAGCAGCGACAACTCCTGATGCTGAAGGCACCCACCCTCGAGAAGGCCACAGTCATCGAGGCCATGTATCTGATTCTCGGACAAGACTATAAGGGTGGAGGTTGGAACCACGACCGCAACCGGCGATTCTCCAAGTGGACCAACAAGGCCTACACTGCTCAGGATGATTGGGAGGAGATGGATGAAGAACCAGTCTGGGAGGAGACTGGCTACTACGAGGAGGACTACCCCATTGGGGACTATGACCATGAGGAGGGTGATTTTGATGATGAAGCTGGTTACTATGGAGGTCAGGACGATGATGCACCCTGGCCAGACTCCAATGAGACCACGAGTCCAGAGCAGATGGCTGAAGAGTTTGACACTGCCTTCGCCTCCTACACAGACGCTCGCAAACGCTTCAATGAGTTGAAGATGGCTCGTGGCTTTCTCCCTGTGGTTGCACTCACTGAGCAACAGCCTCTGCAGACAGCAGCTTCTTCGTCCTCATCCCCTACGGCATCCTCATGGCAGAGAAAAGGAAAAGGGGGAAAGAACAAAGGAAAAGGTCGTGGCCCCTCGGCGACCATTCGATTCTCCCCACAAGGTGCTGGAAAGAGTGATCCAAAAGGAAGAGCACGCGCCAACATGACGTGCCTTCGTTGTGGACAACAAGGTCATTGGGCTGCAAACTGTCCACAATCCAGCTCGCCTACCTCAAAGGGCTCAAGCTTGAAGCGACCTGCACCAACCGAGAGCACGGCACAAGTGGCTGAACAAGCCCTGATCATCTTCGAGGACAAGAACGGCACTCAGCGTCCTGACTGTGTGATGCTGGATCCTGGTGCCAGTGCCTTTCTCTCAGGATATGGTCCCTTCCGTCGCTACTTGGAGCACCTCAAGTTCGACTGCAACTTCCCCATTGAGAAGATTGCCATGACCCAAGGAAAACGAAGATTCCAGTTCGGTGGCGATGCTGCATCCTGGTCTACCTGGTCGGCACACCTCCCAGTGTTCCTGGATGGTCGCTATGGAACAGTGCAGTTGTTCCTCTTGCCCGGCAACACGCCTATGTTGTGCGGTCGCCCCATCATCGAGGCTCTTGGCATGACCATGGACTTTGCCATGAAGCGGATCCGCATTGGCAGTTCAAGTTGGCAAGAAGCAACCATTGGCCGTCAAGGTGAGTATTTGCTCTCGCTCACGATGGAACACGACCTTATGCAGTACGACCCTGACCAGCCTGACTTCGCCCTCAAGACCGCTGAACCTGATCCACCGCAGATTGATGGCTTCACCCTGCACGACTTTGAGCAGGAGGAACAAGGGTTCACAGTCAGTGAACGAGCTGAAGTGGTGGACGACACTGCCACCAAATGTCTCCGACGACATGACCTCAATACCATGGACGTGCAGCTCAGGACTCACCTCAATGAGCTGTCAGCCTATGTGACACGTCACCTACATCCTCCAGAACAACAGCCGAAGCGTGTCCTATGGGAGGTCAGCTCGCACTTCACAAGTGGCTGAAGCGCTGGGAATGAGTGTTCGATGCTTTTCATTGGATACTGGCTGGAACTTCGAACGACTTGATCATCAAGAAGCCTTCCTTCGTGAGCTCGATGAAGAAGCACCAGACGAGTTGCTCATGGCACCTGAGTGCAAGCTCTGGAGCCGCATGCAAACCCTGGCACGAAGAACACCTGCACAGCAAGAAGCACTGATTGCAGCTCGACACCATCACCATGATCGTCATCTGTGCTTCGTACGCCGTGCCTACCTCAAGCAGGTTGAAGGTGGACGACACGCCCATGTGGAACAGCCCAAGCATGCGCTCTCCTGGAAGACCAAAGCACTTCGTGACTTACCTGGTCGACGCGCCGACTTTGACCAATGTCGCTATGGAGCAACATGTCAAGATGAAGACACGGTCTGGCGCCCAGTCAAGAAGAGCACCACCATCATGACCACCAAGCAGGCCATGCAGAATGCCCTCACGCTGACGTGCAATGGTGAACATGATCACTGTGCACTGGAAGGATCTGCTCTTGGTCTTGGCCCTCGCACCAAGTACATGGAGAACTACCAGCCTGCACTTGCAAGCACCATTGCTTCTGCACTTCTCATCGATGAAGCACCTCAAGCTTGGGAGACGGCACACACGTCTTCAGAGCAGAAGCTGGTGACTGGCAACTTGGTCAAGCTGCGTGTTGATACGAAACAAGAGGCCATCCGAGTGGTTCAACGTCTCCACAGAAATCTTGGTCATCCTTCAACGAAAGAGCTCACCGAACTGCTGACCGCTCGAGGAGCGAATGAAGAAGTACTTCGTGCTGCACGTTCCTATGTCTGTGTGGCATGCGCCAAGTACAAGAAGCCTGCAGATGCTGCACCGGCATCTCTACCTGTGAGCACCACGTTCAACGATGTCTTGCAGGCAGATGTCTTCTGGCTGCGTCTCAAGAATGCCGTCAAGTACCCCGTCCTCAGTGTGGTCGACTTGGCAACTCGCTACACAGCAGCTGTCTTGTTGCGCTCAGAGCAATCCGAGGAGCACATTCGTGGTCTTGAACGTTGCTGGATTGCACACTTCGGAGCCCCACAGCGACTTGTCACTGACGAAGGACGAGGATGGCTCAGTCAGACCTTTGAGACCTGGACCAACGCCCACGGCATTGAGCACACTGTTGCCCCTGGTGAGGCACATGAACGTCTGGCCATCGTTGAACGAAGACATGCCATCCTTCGCAAGTCCATTGAGGTCTACATGGATGATATGCAGCTGAACGACGCCTCTGGCATCAAGGAGGCGCTCACCTACTGTGTGCCCCAGATGAATGGCACGCCTTCAGTTGCTGGCTTCTCTCCGACCCAATGGGTTCTTGGACACCAACCTCAACTTGCTGGCAGTCTTCTTGGTGACAACTTCCGCCCTGGACACTTTGGCGGACATGAAGCCTTTGAGGCCATGTTGAACAAGCGCACCGCTGCTCAGAAAGCTTTGATCGAAGCTGATGCCGATCGTCGCCTTCGACGTGCTCTTGGTGCCAAGTACAAAGGCTTGAACTCCGAGTACAGCCTTGGTCAACAAGTTTGGTTTTGGCGTGACGCCAAACAGCCCGATCTGGTGAAGATTCGTTGGCTTGGCCCTGCCCAGATTGTCATGAAAGAGTTCAAGGCTGATGACACTGGACAGCAGCGAGTGAATGTATACTGGCTGGCCTACAAAAGCCAGTTGATTCGCTGCGCACCTCACCACGTTCGTGCTGATGTCAAAAGCTCAGGACATGCCCTGGATGATGTGCAGAAAGCTCTCACTTCTGTACGGCAGCTCAAGTCTCGAGGAGTGACCAGGTACTATGACCTGCACCACTTGAACAAGCGCAACCTCGCAGAGGTCGAGACAGATGAGCACTCCGAAGAGCTTCATGGTGATGTGATGGAAGAAGACTCTGACCATGAGATGACACCACCAAGACGACGACCACGTCTACTGCCACCTGGCGTGGAACCTCCTCAGGCCTCAGAAACTGCTGCGGGACCGACCTCCATGCCACCTGGCATTTCATCGGCGGCACCGGCAGTACCCTCGGCTGAGGAGTACGAACCAACATCACCAGCACACACAGAGCCACAAGACATAGCACCACCAGCGGCAGCGGCAGACACAAACGACACGGCAGCGGCAGATACACAAACCCCAGGTCCACTACCACGGGTCCCAAGCTCGATCTCAATATCCGAGCCAAGCGAGGAGCCGCCTGCTATCTCGGCAGCTCCAACACCTCATGCATCACGACCACAAGCAAGCATGACCCAAGAGCGACCGTCGCTCGATCCGGTGACCGCCCAACTGTATGAGACAGTTGAAGGTGAAACCTTTCAGCAAAGGAGAGCTCGACTGAACAAGCAGGAGACTCTCAGCTTCGCGCCTTTCCGAAGCAGACCGAAGCCACCTGACACGAGGCCATACGATCCTGAACATCATCCACCTCGACCAAATGACGATCATGAGCTAGCTGGCCAGGCCTTCTACCTGGACGACCTGGACACCAAAATGCTGCCTAGCGGATGGTTCATGGATGAACATGGATTCCTCCAACTACATGATCGCGCCACCGACTACTGGGAGCTGAAAGCTGGCTGTCTGATCAGGCATCATGTTGTGCCCCGTCGTGGACGCCTACACCTTGAGCATCTTCCCAAGAATTGCCCGGTCAATCCTGACCAGCTGGACAGTGTGCGCGTGACACTGATTCACCAAGGTGGAGGCAAGAGCCGTTTGACCACTGACAGCGGCTATGATGGCAGTCCTCCCCCTGGAGTTGAACACACTTGGACTGGAGCAACCATCTTCCAGCTCAACGGCAATACTCGCAGAGAACTTGCTATGTACAGTGGACACCAACAGTTCACAAGTGCAAAACAGCAAGGAAAGGACCAAAAGCTCGCCAAACAGAAGAAGTTCAAGAAGGACAAGAGCGCCGTGAATGAGCGGGCATTGGGTCCACAAGAGCGAGCGATGTTCAAGGAGGCCAAGGTGAAGGAATTGAAAAGTTTCTTTGACCACCATGTGTGGATCTTCCAGTCCACCAAGGAGGCAGACCCATCCAGGACTTTGACGTCAAGAATCCTGTTGAAGTGGTCTCGGAACCCTGACGGTTCTCCAAGGGCGAAAGCTAGATTGATCGTGCGCGGTTTTGCTGACCCCGACGCCCTGGCTGGAAGCATTGAGACTTCGAGTCCTACCACAACTCGCCTGTCTCGCTCTATGTTGCTGTCCTTGGCCACCACCATGCACTGGACCACCTGGACCGCTGACGTGAGCACCGCCTTCTTGCAGGGGCGTGAACAGGACAGAAAGTTGTGGGTAAAGTTGCCATCGGAAGCGCTGGCTCTCTTGGGTGCAGATGAAGACACCCGCATGTTGCTTCTGAAGCCCTGCTACGGCCAGATCGATGCGCCCAGAGGCTGGTATCTTGAGGCAGTTGACCGCCTTCGCCGTGGAGGTCTTCGGCAGCACGCCCTCGATCCATGTGCATTTCTCATCTATGAGACTGATGATGACAACTTCAATGAGAACGACCCCATCCACCAGCAGGTCAACTCACTGGGATCTGAACGCCTGGTGGGCATGGTCATCATGCACGTGGACGACCTTTTGGGAGCCGGCTGCCCGAACAGCCCTCGATATGCTGCAGTCGTTGAACAGCTCAAAGAAAACTTCTCCTTCCGGGAGTGGAAGGAAGATCTTGATGTGATGGAGTATTGTGGTTGTGAGCTGCAGCGCACGCCCGAAGGTGGAAGAAAGTTGCACCAAGGCAAATACTTTGACAAGGTCAAGCCCATTGCCTATGACAAGAAGCTTCCTCTCCACCAGCCGCTCAACGAGCGTGAAGTGACTCAGTTGAGGGGCCTACTTGGTTCGCTGCAGTGGCCTGCAGTACAGACCTCACCACACCTACAGTGCAGCACATCGTTGATGGCCGCCCATGTCTCCCATGCCACTCTGCAGACCGTTCAGGACTGTAACAGGTTGCTGAAGTTTGCAAAAGAGAACAAAGACATTGGCCTTGTCTACAACCACCTCGGTCCCACAGAGAAGTTGCGTCTGTTGTGTTTCTTTGATGCTGGTTTTTCCACTCGCCTCGACGGGTCATCGCAAGGTGGCTATGTGTTGATGATGGTCAACGAGGACCTCATGCATTCCGCCGAGGAGGGAGAATATCACATTTTGGACTGGCGCAGCTTCAAAACCCCAAGGGTGGCAAGGTCATCTTTGGGAGCTGAGGCACAAGCTGGCGGTCAAGCCAGTGACGCCGTCGACTTTGCTTGTCAGTTCTGGCACCATCTCATGGAGCCCCACATGCCCTTGAAGCAGTTGCTGGAGGTTCAGTCCTCCCTGAAGCCTGTGATGATCACAGATGCGAAAGCTCTTTACGACGCTTTTCATCGTGAAGGTGCAAGCTCATCCGTCGTGGACAAGCGTGTGAGCCTGGAGATTCGTGTGATGAAGGAGCGCTTGCTGGAACTTGGGGGAAACCTCAAATGGATGAGCAGCGATCGTCAGATCGCCGATGGCCTGACTAAGGAATCTGCTCGAACCTTGTTTGCAGCTCGCCTGAAGCACCAAAAGCTGAAACTCACCTGGGATCCCACCTACAAGGCGATGAAGAAAAAGACCAAAGACGAGAAGAACACAGCCTTGGCTGAGACAACCTCCCAGGTTCATCATCAGAAGCCTGATGACTTCATTCCCAGGTCCGAGGAGATCATGGAAGAGGAGTTTGTTGGCCCGGAGGAGTTTGTGAACTTTGTTCACTCCACGGAAATGATTCCGTATGTCCTCGCCACAAGCCATGTCGTGAAGAGCCGCATGAAGTATGACACCAAGGGTCGCTCGAAGAATTTCATGTTTTGGATGATTTTCTTGTTTTTGCTGCAGTGCTGTCAAGCAGCACCTTCTACGTGTTTGGCGGAGGAACCACCGCCACCGCCACAGCTGAGCGATGAGCACTGGTTGGCCCTCTTTGCAGCAGCACCCTTGGCGATTGCAGTGATCGCCTTCCTGCTAGGCCGATGGTCGAAAGGTGAAAAGAAAGAGAAGGAAGAGATTGAAGAGGAGAAGGTGACCACCGCTGACGCCTTCACTCAGAAGGATGAGCCTGTTGTCCATGCACGACTTCGGGAAGCCCTGAAGACCGAGCAGGCCAGAGTGAATGAGTACAAGATGGCAGCTCGCGAGTCTCGCCGAGCTGTGGATTTGGCCATGACGGAGATCCTCAACCTTCGTCCGCTCGTGCAGGATGCTGCACCCATGTTCCGTCGCTTGATCACCGCGATGGATGATCACATGGACCAATGCCCGCACCGACAGCCGATCGTAGCCTCCAAGAAGAATGGCATCTGCTGGCACTTTCCCACGTGCCATTGTGCGGAGCAGATCACCGAGCCGAACTTGCTGCAACTCCGCATCTGTGCCTACTGCGGAGATCATCGCAGTCCGCTCGACTTCCCGAGTCCAAATCCCTCTGTCTCGCAGGGAAACTGCTTGAGAGAAGAGGTGACGACGTGGCTGGCTGACTACAATGTCTGCCGGTCATGGTTTTCCGACCCTGAGCACAGGTAAGAACATCGCCTGTGTGAGTTGTACGCTGTACAACATGTTTTCACTTGAAGCACACCCGTCCGCACCGCAGGGCGGGCTCATGAGTCTAAAACAGGTTTCGGCCGCAACGCGCTCGCGCGCGTTCCAATTCGTTGTGCGGTGTGTCTTGGCCACGACTTTGTCTACCTTGGTTTCTACCTGGGCCTCGACTTTACACCCTACGCTACGTTGGACCTCGTTTGCCATCGATAGCTTCGCACCAACCATCTAACAAATACCCTGAGCCTGTTCATAAAAAACCAATGTTAACATATGCCAACAAACCCCACTCCAACCACATGACCGGCTAGGCCCCCCGGCTTCGCTGCCAGCTGTCGGGCGATGCGGGCTTTCACGGTAAGGCCCGCCTGGGAGTTCAACTTGCTGGGTGGAGTCGCGGAGCCGTGGGTAAGGCATTGAGCCTTGGACCCCAAGTAGCAAGGACGCTACTAGGGGCTCCTGGCCTTACTACTAGGAGCAAGAAGCTACTAGGGGCTCCTGGCATCGCTACTAGGAGCAAGGACGCTAGCATGGCCATCTCGCCAAAGTCAAACGCTGGTTCACCCAGTGGTCCAACCAGGGGTCCAATAGCTCCCCACACCCGTCGCATCCACATCTAGCTTCAACCCGATTGAACGGTTTCCTTTTGGAAAAGGTGTACGATTTGAATCGGCACCGAAAAAGCATCACCGAGACCCAGAAAATGACAATTGGAGAACTGATGGATCCAATCCATCACCACCAAACTCGGAGATGTTGCCGAGAAGCTGGGCTCCTCTCCCTACCTCGGCTTGGAGACCTGACATATTCAGGACGGATGTGCGAGACTGAAGATCCAGTTCAGATGTGTTGTTTCCACCTTTAGGTTGGCACTGGAAGGTGGTTCACTTGCCAGAAGTCTGGAATGTGTATTCATGGATTGATTGACCGCATTGCGGGATTCAACTTGAACATGCCTTGCTCAGCCTTACTTGGTTCGGACATGATCGAAAACCTGACTCCATGACCTCTTCTTTTGACTGCCATGTGGCACGATGAGGTCTGAGTCCGCAACACCAGCACCCTCATTTGTGCTCAGCAATATCTTTATGCTAGGCCGGCCAAGGATCAGAATGGATTCAAGTACCAAATGATCACCACAGTGGCCAACTGGAAATGATTAGAGAAAGACAACGTCTGCCGCAATACCATTGGTCAAAGGAGAAGCAAACGAAAACCCTGCAGACTCTCCAGTAACGGTCGATATTTCAAGCCACTTCCAAGTTGTATTCCCAGCACGAGGTAAAGGCGTCTAGAGTCCTTTAACCTCCCCACCGGTCTTCATCCTTTGAGGACCAGGAGACTCTCAGCAATGTCCACATGAATCAACACTTCAACCTCTTCAGCATCCATGTTGATCAGGTCAGTCATCCAGCAACAACCCAGTTCACAGTTGGCCTCATCTCCGGCTCAGGGTGCGGGATCCTATGACAGCTGTCACGAGCTGATCAGCAGTTAGCAGTTGTTGGATTTTGTTGGACGACGCTTTTGCGAAACACCAACATCAAATAACAGTAATGGGTTGGAAAGCCCACGAACAAAACATTGAATCGACAGCTTGGTTTGGAAGCTTGATGGGGACCTTTGGGTTTGGGATCCACAGGAAGGACTACAACTGAATGAACAAAAACGAAGCCAATGCTGCCCAGAGTCTCAAACTGGTTCCTCACCGAAGGAGACTCTCACTCGGATTGTAAATAGCATTGGAAGGGCATGAATTTGTCATTTGGCATGTCAATTGACTCAGTGCATTATACCACTTGCATATCTAGGATGCAAGCTGGTTCCAATATGGACCTGTCTCAGCATGGACACTCCAAATATATTTTTTCCAGCATTGAGTTCCTCCAAAAGTCATATGGGAGTCTTTTGGGGCTCGTGACTAAGAATGGCTTTCAGGATTAAACCATTCGTCAACTTCATCAACTTGTTCAAGCACACAAAAGGATCAAGCCATTGATTTTTCAGGGACGTGGCAACCTCAAATGGGTTCGTCGAACCTAATGATCTAAATCTTGAACGCTTTCGAAGATTCGCCTGCCCGGTCTGAGACATACCAGTGTGACTAGAACCTCCTACGCGTGCGGCAAACACGGAACACCCCATCCCTCCTCCTTCCCATCGGTTCTGCAGGAACAAATGGCGGCGCAGGTGCCCTGGCTGAGTCGCTGCGAGATCCCAGGAGAGTTGGGATGTCACACACAGCAGGAGATACAGTATCCTTGTCTTATTTTGTATCCGTCCAAAAATAGAGTTCCTTGTGTTTTGCCACTGAACATCACACCAAGGCCAATTGGCATTTGTTTTCTTTATGACCATCAAAAGTCCCCAAATTTGGCCCGAGCATCCTGACCACTGGCTCCACAACAGGTGGCCTGGCTGAGAAAGTGCAAAACCGTCAAGTAGCAAACAGGACCACCATTGGATCATGGATCATTGAGATTGGATGAGATTGGAACATCCACTCCACATGACGATCCAATTGGGTAAACCTCAGATTCTCATCATTGCGATAACTTATCGGGGCATACTACAAGCCAACACAAGACACATATCCTTGGGTGTAGATTCTACTGCCCATGATCCATAATCCTTCATGGGTAGAAACTGCTGAAGAAATCGTCCCCGTCACCAATGTTGGACTACTGTTCAGTATACTGTTGAATGCCACCACTCCACCCACTTTGACCCAAACCATGATAACCATGCAGATTTTGGACAACTCTCAGGTACTCAAAATAGTGCTTTTTCTTCTTTCATCCATGCAAACTATGACCAACTATGTTTTAGGCTTTAGACGGTCTTAGAATATGCATCTGATCACCATCGGCCCAACCGACCACAGCGGGGAAGTCTGCCTCACCACTGGTTCCCAAGCGGGTCTCCTTTGATCGGATCCGATCAAGCTCACCAATGGCGACCGCTTGGTGGAAGTGACTCATGTATTTCAATTCGTGGGGTCACCATCGGTGATTGCCAATGTTTTAAGCATGGTTTATTCTTGTGGATCTTAGCGACCTTTTGAACCTTGCGCTCTATTTTCGCAGCTCATTATATAGTTGTCTTATGTTGTCTTCACATCCTTGGAAGACTGCTCTGAGCACCCAGTTCACCAATGTTCTCCAAGTGCGTTGTACCCTTGAACTTGAGTTTGCAGCTCCAAAAACACACTCCAATATGAGCACCAAGAACGAGTCATCTACTTCCCACTAGCAAGGTGGTCAATAGAATCAAAGAACCCTGAGATATAGCCTCACGAGCTGGATTACTCTCGTTCCAACAATCAAATAAATATAAGCAAACAATCTCCCCTTTCTCTGCATCCTTTTGCAAACAGGTTTGCTTATTCCATGATAAATACACAGTAATGAATGGGTGCACCTTCTTTGTCGAGTCCCTCCCCCATCCAGCTCCGTCTCCTGACGACCGGCTCCACAGGGACCCTGGCAGACTGGAGTGCTGATCCCATTTAAATGTTCACATCGAATCCCAAACTATCCTAAACTGTGTCAAGAAGAAACACACACACACATATAAATAAATAAATCAAAACAATATATAGAGACAGCGTAGTATGTCATGTACGAGAGCTGAGTCATTTCACTACAGTTTCGTCACCTTCAGACTCTCATGGTAACCAAATCATGTTGTGAATTAAGACCTAATTAAGACCCTCAATCCATTTCAGTTTTCAAAGCCTGTAAACGTAACTCTACGTTAGGAGGGTCCAGCACCATGAATACTCATGGGATCTCATGGGGTCTTGGGGGCCCTAGTTGGTATAGTTGCACATGTGAGCTTCTTGTTACTAGTAGCAAGAATGCTCCTAATAGTACGGCCAGGAGCCCCTAGAAGCGTCCTTGCTCCTAGTAGCGATGCCAGGAGCCCCTAGTAGCTTCTTGTTGCTAGTAGCTTCTCATGATCGCATGCTTCATCATGCTTCTACGTCTTACGACGCTTCCCAGCCTCACCACAGGTTCCCAATCAGGCCTGGCAATCCGCGTCGTGACGTCGCAGTGATCTGTGTCTTTATAAAGGCACATCTGCAGATTCTCCTCCAGCCCTTCAAGGCCAGGATCGACTCGGGTAACTCGAAGGGATGAATGCGATAAGGCTTCTCATTTCCGCCTTGCGTAGGACTCCTCAGCCATCCTAGAGTTCCTCGGCAGAGGCCAGGGGCGATGATTGGGGAGCATACCACTTTCTGCTTCTTGCATGCTTTTTAGCTTCTCTGTCCTTGTGGGTTTGAGAGCCGCATCTCAGTTAAATCTGGTGAACTGGCGAGGAGCTCAAACTTGGAGGTTGCATAATTCAATACAAACGCACACCAAACTAGTTGAAAATCATCTCGGGGCAAACACATCGAGAACCATGACAACTTACCGCACACATATAAAAACTGCTGGTGGAGTCATGCGAACAGCAGCTCCTGCATTGCACTATCTGTGAAAACATCCCTTCAGCGTGTTTAGGTAGCTACAGTACGGCTAGAGATAGGATAGGCATGTGTAGACAAATACAATAAGAGATAGGTCGGTAAGTAGACAGATTTATTGGTAAGCAATCGTTCAAAAAAAAAAGATATAAAATATATCTAACAATACTGTGGATATATATATATATATAGGTATAGTATATATATATAAACACAAATAGTAACAAAATAATACATAATATACATATTCAAATCACGATGTTGGTCCTACGATTCTGCGCAACTGGTGGAAAATGAAAATCCAAGACTCAGATCCTCCATCTTCTCCAGCAATTCTTCCATCAAGGCTGAATGCCGCTTGCGGGTCTGTGGCGATGGGAAGACCTCCTGTCTTGTGGCTGCCGTGCGGGTGCACGCGCCGTGCACATGCCGGTTTAGGCGGTCGACGATCAAAAAAAGACAACCAACATCGGATTTTTCAGCCGCACCAATTTCGATCATACAGGCCTTGTGCCATGCAGTGCACAGCGCCTACGGTGGGACGGTGTCTTTTGGAGACCCAGCCTCGAGCAAAAGCTCTACAATTTCAAGGTGGTGTTTCAATGTGGCTAACTGCAGAGCTGTTTTTCCAGATTCGGTTGCCTTGTTCATGTCAGCTCTTTCCTGGAGTAGTCGCAAGACAACTTCCAGTCGACCATTTTGGGCCGCCAAGTGCAAGGCTGTTGTGTTGGAACTTGTACCCTTGTCTTTGTCAGCACCAGCCTCTAGCAACAGTTGCATCACTTCAAGATGGCCACCAGTTGCTGCTAAATGCAAAGCTGTTAAACCGGAGATTGTGACCTTGTCTTTGTCATCGCCACTCTCAAGAAACAACCGTGCAACTTCTGTGTGGCCCTCCTTGGCTGCCAAATGCAAAGGGGTGATCCCTGAGGATGTAGCACCATCTCTGTCTCCTCCAAAATCAAGCAATAGCTGCACAACTGCAAGGTGGCCATTCACAGCGGCCACGTGTAAAGCTGTCGCCTCAGAATTCATCGTCGCGCCTATGTGAGCCTTGGCTGTCAACAACTGTCGCACAACTTCGTGATGGCCAGTTTCAGCCGCCCCATGTAAAGCTGTTTCCCCATTCATCGCGGGCGTCTCTGTGTGCGCTTTAGCCTCAAGCAAAAGCTGCACCACTTCCTGATGCCCCTCTCTGGCCGCCAAAGCCAAAGCAGCTTGATGACGGGGGAAAACCAAGTCCACAATCGTCTTTGTTCCAGCTTCCAATAACAAAGCGATGCAATCCCAATGCGAAGCGCCAACAGCAGCACGGACAGCATGTTCCAATGATTTTGGCTTAAGCGCTTCAGGATGCAAAGGCTCCTTCAACAGCGTTTCAAGCTCCTCTAACTTATTCAGAGAACATGCCCCATAGAGTTTCTCCGCGTCTCCATCTGCCGGAGGCCGGAACTCCAAAACGACCACCTGCACGTTCAATTCAGAAACCATTTTCAGTGCGGCCTCATCGTGGAATTCCGTGTGGTCCTCACCGAACCATCTCTGGCGGAATCTAGAGGCTCCGATCTGCTGGGCCAAACGTGTCTTCAACGATTTGAAGGTTTGCCCCTCCAACCGGTCGCTCCAACTGGCCAGTGGTTCCCCAGAAGCGGCCCACGCGAGGTGAAGCATAACGAAAAACAGGTCTGACGTGCGATACTAGGTGTCGGAAGGTTAGAAATATGCCTCCTAAAATATCCAAAAAACGCATATGACATGTGACTCATACCTTTGGATGTCCCCTTGTCCTTGAGACACAACCATCTGAATCTGATGACAGTATTGTTCACCTGAAAGACCTGCATGTTCAAGAATGATTACTGCAATTATTGTAATCGATAGTATACTGCTATGATTCTATGATATACCATGGACTGATTCGATTGAGAAGCAAAAGTCATCCGGATCAAGAACATTCACCGCATTGGGCAGCAATCTGGGACAAGACTGGGGTACGTGTATGTTGGACACGGGAGAACGGTGTGTATTTTTCACAAACAATCAAACAAACTACGTCAAACTACTTGCACCTCACACATACTGTCCTGTTCAATCAGTACAATGGGAACCTGTGAATCATATTGAATCATTGAACATCCTGAAGATTGGGAACTCTTCAGGATGACATGGATCGGTCCCAGAACCCAGTGCTGTCGCTCCTGTCGTCTTGCAGCTCCTGTCGGTGGGGATCTAGTGGGGAAAGCCAAAAAAATGCCAAAGCACTTCTCGACCAAAAGGGAAGTCGCGCTGGAGATCTTTTGGAAGGAAGCAAAGATCGACCTGTGATCATCCTGGAATAATATGTACTTATAGGCTAAACAACAATAAACACATCGTTTGTGGTCATGGCAATGCGATATCTTCGGCCTGGGGGACTTGAATGGATGACATATCGAATCAACTTTTGGTGCAAACTGGAATAGCACCAACATTTTTTCAAAGCCATTAGGCAACAAAAGGGATCTGAGCCAAACGTCCTATTTTGAGGATTTGAAGAACCAACAAGAATGAACAAGAGGATACAAAAGGTTTGTTGTGACCCCACGATGAGCTTCCAAGCCTTGCCTTCAGAGCGCGCCCGCAGAGCGCGCGGAGGCATTGTGGCTCGACTGGAGTCCCTGCAAACGAATCAGCTTGTGTCCAAATCCAGATCATGAATACACTGGCGTCCAAAACACGCAAGCAAAGCCATCCTTGCAAAGGCATTTGGTCATTCAACTTGGCCAGGTCAGTGAAGAGGGTTAACCGTCCAAGGTTCCTATTCTGCATGGTTTGGTGTATGTCTGGACGTGAACCCCTCTGCTTCTGAAGACTGGTTTTGCACCCGCCTGGCTGGAGGGGCTTCACTGAGGATCGTCTGTGATGCTGAGTGGCGCGATTTGTCCCGATTGTCTGAATTCGTTGTGGAACAATGGCACTGGCCATGGCTTGTCTCAAGTGGCTCTTCAGTCTGCAACATGAATCTTTGGCTGTGCACGCCCTTCTTCACCAGTCTTCAGTGGTTCAATGCCCCGGCAGTCTCAAATTGAGAAAGTTGGTTTTAATCCAAAATGGCTGCAAACCATGAGTCGACTAGTCACTAGTCACGGCCCAATGTCAATCTTGCATCAAGCGAAACGTCTAGTAAGCCGAGCCAAGCCATTTGTCAATTTGTCAAGGTGAAGAACATATATAAACAGCACGCTTTTCTACACTGAAGCCTGCACTATTGTAAGGAACTCGACACCCTGACCGGACCACAAGAAGAAGCCAGCTGTTTGCACAAGCCTGGGGCTCTTGCGATTGAAAGCTGCACGATGGACAGGGCCCCATCAAATGGTCGAGCAAAAAGGCAAGGTAGGCAAATCAAATCACTTGCCTAATTGTCAATCTATCAGTGATGCATCACATGTAGCTCCAGGTGGAGGCAGTGTGGGCGCAAAACACCCCGCATGTGCACAGCCCCCTCTGTTTCGGTGCCATGTGTTTGCTTGTAATGCACTGAAAAGCTCAAGGTTGGTGTCCAGAGGTCTTAAGTGGAGGTACTGCATAGCCATTTGCCAGTTGGTCTCAGGTGGTAAAATTCAATCGACCAAACATCCCTAAATACTAAAAAAAATCAAACAAAAATGGCTTGAGACAAAAGGATGCCGCGATCACCGCGCAAGTTTCTGCCATGCACCTCCGCAAGATCCTCCCGCATCTCTCCGCCCTTGTCATCCCCTCCAAATGCAAATATCTGCCGAACGGAGGCCCGCGGCAACACCCAACCAAACATCCGGTCACCCTTGAACTCCCTATACAGTACAGCATTATACAACCACGGGAGCGACACATGTTCTTCTCCGCCCCGAATTCATCCAAGACGTCCGTTTCAATCGAATCATTCGCCTTTTCTGAAGAATTTGGTATGACCTTCCTCAGACCCGACCTCTTCTCTCTGTCGTTGAAGGCTTTGGATCTCCGCCAAGACCCGCTTCTCTTGCAACAACCTGGGGCTGTCGGGCATCGTGCTGAAAGCCGCGTCAAACGGAAAGACGATGGGAAATCCGAGTGACGCCCTCGTTGAACAGGGCCCGGACTGCATGGAGACATCATACCTGGCGGTCTGGCTAAGGAGCCTCATGAGCCTGGAACCTCTCTGAGGTGCATCTGGTTCTCATTGATGAGCAGGTTAATCAATTACGTATTTACTTATTTCGTTCTTTCTCCTGCATACTGGCCCCAGCTGAGAACTTGTTCTGGACCCATTTTGTGCTGCACTGATCATCTCAAGAAACACACGCTTAAACCAAACCCAAAACACTTTCTTTCAAACAAGTGGCTTCCTCAACATAGCTTCTCAAGCCAGCTCCCTAGGCTCGTGTCCACCGGCGCACATCTGTTGCTCCAAGAAGTGGATCCGCTCATCGATCTCAGCCTGGCAGGAAACGATTGATTTCAACCTGACATGTGTGAGACACAGAAGCGTTGTGCTTCCAACTGCAAGGACAACAGCAGCAAACGGTCTTTTGGCGATTCATACTGTCGGAGAACTTGGACTTTGGAGCAAAATAGGTCAGAAATGGATGCCGCTGTCGCCAAACCTGCCCAACCCAAGCCTTCCAAACTATATATATATAGTTGGAATACATCCATTCAATGTTTTGTCTTCTTGGCTGAGACAACATACGAGTACTGTAGCGTGTTTCAGAAGACTTTGATTTGTGCAGTCTCTTGACATTCCTTCATGGGTGCAGGGTCCATAATTTCTATAGTCATACCGAGCCTCATTCGGCCTCATTTGTTTCAGCTAGGTGGTTAGGTGGAGGCACCAAAAAGGAGAGCTGACCTCATTCTTCTAATCACTGTGTGTGGGGAGTACATGACATGCTCTCAGCGACATGACATGCTTCAGAACCTTGGCAAATCGGATACCGCCGTCACCCATCCCTCTCCACCACGCCTCTGTGGAGTATCCCGAAGAGGTCTTAAACCTCCCGGAGTTTCGATCGCGTTGGCGCACGTTGGCGCGTTCTTTCGCTACAGTGCATGGCCCAGCCATTTTTCAATGGAAGTCCAATATCATAGTCTTGAGCAGCTTTCTCTTGTGAGTCGGGACATGACTCGAGGCACGGTTCTTCCCCTTGTCGATTCACTTTGATTCATTAAATTCATACCCTGAAGATGCCGTGGGTTTAAGCGTTTATCCCATTCAACTGGAGGGAATCAAGTGAAACACTGGATGTTGGAGCACCGGCCGCCTTCGGATCTCCTGTCGCTTCCGCTGTTCTTCTTGGAGCTCGGGGTCCTGGCTCTGCGTTTTTTCTCAGATCTCTGGAGCATTCTGACAGCATTCTGACAAATTCATCTGAAAGTTAGTGGGGTTGTGTTCTGTTTCTCTGTTTCTACTGGGTCTGTTCAAGCCCGTTGTTGCTGTGGTCCTGAGGTGCAGTTTCATTTTTCCTGGACAACAAAGGGGGGAGGGGGGCAACGCTGGTGTTGTTAGCCTTTGTTGACCAAACATTGGGCTTGAATACATGTTTCACAATTCGGCAAGAAACGTGGAACTGGTAAAAATCCTTGGGTGGTTGTCCTTTTCCTTCTATATATATAAATACACATATATACACATAATCATTTTAAAGGATGTTTAATACAATGGTCATTTGCATAAGCCTCAAGCCACAAGTCAGGCAAACATAACCACTTAAACCATCGAACAGAAATAGGCAACCTGAACAGAGACAAGAGACTGCAACATACCACCCAACGGTTTTGACCATGTTTGACAAACATCACCACGAGTGCAGCATATCAATTCGCATTGCAGTTCCAATTTCCACACACCCTTTCATCCCAATTGAGGCTGTTGGATCACTGACCGATTTTCTCGAAGTGACAACCGCTTCAAGTTGCAAAGTGGGAAACACCCAGTGGATTGCTCAACTTGGCCGGTTCAACCTGTGGGAACTCATTTTGCTAGCCTATCGATCTGACGAATCTACGCCTTTCATGTAGACAAATGAAAACAGTGTGAGTAAGCCAGTCAGTCACTCAGTCAGTGTCGGTTTAGGCACGCAGAGCACTTGGAGCATCCTGGACCCTCGACTATCGACCAATGGTTTTTGCAGTTACACATCTTGACCATGGTATTACCATGTATTACTCACTTCCCAGGTCGATCCTGCCAGTTGTCTCTTCAGGTGAGTGAGACAGTCGACAGACATTATACCAGACAACAAACCCTAAACCATTCAAAACTGAAAGGCCGTCAATCCTTCGGGCTGAGCTCCCCCGACGGTGCCCTCCAAAATCTGCGCTCGTTGCTGTCTCAACTGCCGTACTGTGCTGGCCTCAACATCACATGTGAAGCGGACGCCAAGCTGGAGCGACCATAGCTTTCTGTGGCTGACTTGGCGAATCGAATTAGTGACAACGCATTTCTCGTCCAACAGGCAACAAGAATTTTGTCGTTGGAATGGCCTGGGCATCTGCAAAAGGCCTAAGCACATTAGTCCGTTTCCTCAAATCATGCTTGTTGAATAGAGATCATGGAGGGTATTTGCACATTGGGTGAGTGGAAACTACCTCGCCGCGATTGGGGTCATTGCCACGGGTGCTGTTTGGCAGGTGAAACACTCACACATCAAAACACCAATTGAACTTTGAAAAGGAAACACAAGAAGAACAATGATATGACAAAACACAAGTAAGGCCGCCCTTTTTCATGTCTGTCTTACTTTCTTGAGGTTCCTAGACCTCAACCTCTACGCTTTCAGTCTACATATTCTCCACCCATGCCTGGAATCGGTACCACGCTAGTGTTTGATCCAAACTTGCAAAGGAAACTAGAAGGACCAAAGGGTGGTTTCAACTGTGAGAGTTTCCTTTGCAACACAATCCACCAATTGTTGATCGCTGAGTCCTCCTGGCAACTTCATCCACGTGGTTCTTGAACCGCTGCTTGCGATGGCTGTAGTCCTGCCATGGCTTGGTGCCCTAGAATTGGGAGAATCTGCTTGCAATGTTGGAGGAGCATGGTGGTTCTTGGGGTCCACTGCCAAACAAAAGGACCCATCAAAACCTACCTGGCCTGCTTGTGCTCCTGAAGGCTACTGCAAATCTGCAGGGGACTGTGCACACATTCATGGCCACTCTCTTCCAGAATACATTCTTTGGTGTCTGCAGCGCTGCAAGAGTTCTGTAAAGTGCACATTCTTAAATACGGTTTAGGTCCAATGAATGATAGTAGGAATAGTCAGTCTTGACACTTCAATATTCCTCCCTAGGGCCTTTGCTAGGTTGGAGGCCATCGCTCTTAGGATGGAGGCCATTAGGCTTTCATGAGCTCTCGCTACTTCTTTGGGCATTCCTGGAGCACCTCCTCAGTGCCTTTGAGTCCGCACCTCTCCATCAGCACCACAGGTCTCTGCCTGGCTGGAGGAAGCTGGAGGACGAACAACCACAATGATTTTGCCATCTGTTTGGTGGATTATTGTATATGCTTGCAGAGTCCCAGATTTTGGAAACAAAGAAACAAACTGTTGTATATTGCAAAGAACATCGTGACGGCCCTTTTCTCATTGTATTTTAAACAACTACTACGAGTATATTCAACTTCACCGACCCGCTCTGCCGCTCTGCGTGCCAGCTGATGCTCCAAGTCCTTCAGCTGCGTTCGAAGCTGTTCTTCCTGGACTTCGCTCTTGCGGCTACGTTCGTCCGTGAGCCATGGTGCCATGGACCCAAAGGGGAAGTATGGGTCTCGCAGTGTCGCTGTGTCGAAGTCATGGGAACTGTTGTAAGTTCACAAATATTCAGTGTTTTCTTACTTTGGCACAGCCCTGTTGGTTCGGCTTTCATGTGTCCCTCTTTCATTTGAAGACGCCGACAAGTTGGCTTGTCTAGCATGTTTTTGTCTATTGCGAAAGAACCGTGCAATTGTTGAGCTTCTCAAAATCTTGCTTTGGTGACTGTCACCACGTCGTCTCCACCATGATGGACATGGTCCAAACTTTGTCTCTATAGTACTAAGTATAGTCCATTGATCTATTTGCCGATGACAAACAAGAGGCATGTCTTACAGAAAAAACTATCATTGCTACCGGGCTAGAATACCAATTACCACAAGCTACACCTCTGTCGCGAGACATTATCAACGATGGAAGCCTCATGCTCATGCTCCCCAAAGCCAAGCCTTAGGTCCAAAGAAAATCTTCCCGATGTCGCGGCTGGGTGAGGAGCTTTAGCATCCTTGGACTCCATCTCGATCAAATATTCCACCGACTTGCTATCCGAATCTACTACGGACACGTTTGATCTTCTGCCAGGAAACAGTTTTGAATTTGCCAGTTGCGGATTTGAAGACTATTTGGTGATATAGTGGTGCAAAGGCATTGGGCCATGACCATTGACTTAGCCATCACTTGCCCCCAACACCGGCATGCGGTCCTCTTCGGTGACCTGTGGCGCAATGCCGCTACAACCAGAGGATGCCAGGCAAAGTTTTATGCTAGTTCCAAATCGATAGAAAGAGTATCCCTTTCTATTTGTGGGAGCCTACATGGCAACCATGGGCAAGTACAAATGGCCTTGGGTTTATCAAGTCCAAGTTCTTCTTGGGACCCATAGTTCGCAGCTCCAGGGTGCTCTCGAAGAAGGAGGCCCAAAGATTTGAGGCAGGCAAAAAGGTGGACTGCATTGTGTCAGGCTATGTCAAGAGCTTTAGGTTGCTGTAGATGCTTTTAATCGTCACATTGATTTATTTGGAGGACATAGTTGTTTGATCCCCGTTGGAATTACCGGTAGGTCTGGGGAGCGTGATTTTATACACATAAATCGCCTGCCCCAACATCCAGCAAGCAATCTCTCCACTATAAAATGAAGACTCGACATGAATCAGTAAATCTCTATAAAATCAAGTCTCAACATCTAAGGCGCCCGAAATCAGAAATAAGACGTAAAATATGATCTAGGTTTGAGGTAGATTTACCTTTATTTTGCCCAGGTCGGAATTGAATTTATAGT